AAGTGATTTTCTACTTTTACTTGGGGTTTAATTAAATCTCAGATAGGGAATTCAGCCTTTCTTGATTCATGCTCTTTTAGGTGGCTCTGATAAGAATTTAGCATCAACAATTGAGCTAACAAGCCCCAGTGAACAGTTCATAGCAGGAGACTAATTCTATTAACGCTTTGCAGTGTCAGGACTCCACTCTGAGCTCGCAGCCGAGAGGAGGGATGGGGAAAAAGGGAGCAGATGTAAAATTTGGCAACTAAATCACCAAGATTCAGCTTCTTTGTGGGCAGAGCTCATCTGGAAACTATTTTAGCTGACAACATCAGAATTTCACCTGGTCTGGCCTTTTTTCCCTTTCTCTCCTGGCTGCTGCTCTGCACTTTCTTGGCTCATTGTGATAACGCTGGCAATAAGGAGCGGAACTGAATGGTGGCATTGATAAGAGAAATGAAAGGGTAATGCGATGACATGATACTGGGGTAGGGCCTCTGCGGTTATCCCTGCCTTTGCTGGAAGTGTGCTGGAGTACAGCATGGTCAGGATAAAGATGCTTGTGCTGATGGTTGCAAATTAATCTGATGCAAGGGAAAAATTGAGGTTATCACGCTGCAGAGATGGTTCCCTTTTTGGTGGCAACAGAAATATCTTGCAGGTCTGTTGTGATTCATAAGCATTTTGTCTCTCTTTTTCCCTCTCCTCCCTACCTTGCTTAAGGTACCACTGAAATCTCACCCTATCCCCTGTGTGCTGGGTTCACATGCCAGCTCTTTGCTGTCCCTAGAGGAAATGATGACAAAATATGCTAAGAGCACACAGACACCCTCCCTTATTCATGAGTTCTTCTGCAGCATCGCTGCAAATTGCAGTTGTCAGTGGAGAAGAACACTCATCAGGGGATTCCATCCGTAATCACTACAAACAAAGAGGATGCATACATCTAAGTCCTGAATGCTGCCTGATACCAGATCACTGCAGGGACTGAACTAACACCCATGTTCCCTCTTCTTGAAGTGTGAAGACTCACTGAGAAACCACAGATGAGGGACTGCCTGATAATGGTCCTGACCTCTCGGGACAGGAGGCAGCCAATGCACTGGTCTCCAAAGGCTCCTGCCCTTGAGATGCTGCTGGGTTCAGACTTGATGTGGGAACCACATCATGAACAAGCGGTGAACACCAACAAAGATCCTCCTGCCTTCATGTCTCCAGCTGTTGGGAATGGCCTGATGCACAAAGGGCAGAGTCCTCATTAAATTCCATGGAGGGTTGCCATGTGGCCAGCAGAACTTGTTTCATCTCATTTTGATAAGCAGCACAGTAATAGATTCACCACCTCAGAGCATCATGGGGTGACAGATGGGAGCTGGGCCCTGGCGTTCATGGGAAAGGCTCCTCTCAGCAGGGAGGCAGTAAGTTTCCCACCTAATCTTCTGTAACCTTCAGACTGCTAACAAGTGTGAGAAGCAAAGCAATGGGTAGTTATTAAATTAATGACTTCATCCCCAAGCTGGTAATAAATATTTTACAGTTTTCTCTCTCCACCCTGTAGACTGCTGTAGACAGACTAGACTGTTTATTAATCTAGCTTCTGGATTTATGTTATTTAATTGTTGAACAGCCTTAGCATGGTTGGGCTGGGTTATTAAATGCTGAAGCCCAAGGAGTCCTCTGGCAAACAGCAAGACCTGAGGAGCTGATCCTTGATCTTGGACTTGATGAGCTTCAGGCCAAAGCCAACTCCTCTGCAGTGCTGAGGCCAAGTTAGCTCCTGTTTGAGTCCACTGCCTCCTGCTCAGTTTGGGTGGACTCTGGGACTTGTGACTGACGAAGAGGCAAGGAGAAGTTTTTGGCATATGCTGGCTTCAATATGGGCATGACCAAGTTAACCACAACCACGATGCTGCAGGGTCAGGCATCGTTATCTTAGCATGGACAGGTTCTCCTGGGATGGTCCAGCCCTTTGTACTAGTCCTGGAGCTCAGGCAGAGCATATGTCCTTGCTTCATCCTTTCTTGATATCATCACAGATACTCGCTGTCATTCAACTAGAAGAGCATTGCAGTGATATAAATGAAAGCAGGCTTTAATGGTTGTTATACTTCCCTGTTGACAGGGTTGAAAATGTCCTAAAATCTGATCCTACCGTTTTTACAATTGGTGATTTATTCATCCCACGGAAAGACAGGGATGAAGGCATCTGGAATAACAAATAAATATTTGTCTGAAGGATGCATCATCCACGTGCCCTACAGCCTCAGTCCCAGGAGCCCTTCTGTACAAAGAGAAGGTCGTTTCAGGATATATCTTCCCATAAAAGTGTAGGAGGAGTGAGTGTGTTAGCAAGTGCTGGCCAGAGCTTTAATCCAACCAAGCTGTGCTCAGTGCTGGTTGGGAAGGGAACAGTTTCCAGCCAGGGGCTTCTGTGTTGACCGCAGTGTCATCTCCAGCCCCTCCAATCGCTCCCCAGCCACAGCAGCATCTTTCTGCAGCCCAAGGGGAGTGAATTGGATGCCAAATGGCATCTCTCAAGAGCCAGGTTTCCTTCTCTCCCCAGCAACCCCTTCTTGACCAGCCAGCTGTGTGTTTCTCAGGTTGTGGGAGCAGGGTGAGATGAACCAAGCATAAAGACTTCACCCAGAGGAGTTCTGGAGCAGGGGGACCAAAACTGCGGGAAAATGAGACAGGGAAAGAAACCCTTTTCTGCACACATCCAAAATCCATAGGGAGAGACTCAGTAAATGTTGACAAGAGGAAGGTACCACTTGAGCAGAAGAGTGGAGGAATGGGTCATTAGCAGCTACAATTAACAGTGCCATCAGCGAGGCCAAATGATGCTCTTGTTTGTCAATGGTTTATCAACACGTTTAGAAACAACCTTATGCTGACAAGTATCTTTCCACTTACATCCTTTAAGCAAAAGACCTGCTCTCCTCTGCAGCCAGCTCTCACCCTGTGCATGGTGGAGGAGGCTTAAGAGCTCTCCTAAGCACACCTATAAACTGACAGTGTACCATCTTAAACCAATTCAATTCCCTTCCCTGCGATAAAGGACTCCAGTTCAGAGAAGATAACATCTCACAGTGATGGCTCCCAAAGCTGCAGTTTAATACAAATCTAACTGCTCTATTATACAGCACAGCAATTCGTTAAGAAAGGACAAGCAAGCATGTCTATTAGCTATCATCATAAGCAAATATTGGCACAAGGAGCTGCTCGGTGGTGCAAAGTCTAGTGAACCCCCCCCAAAACAATTACATGCCCTTCAGAAACAGTGTGCAGCCATGGGGTTTTCTCCTTTAAAGCTGTGAAGTCCTCTGTGGAGAGGACAAAACCTCCTGAACTCTCAATCCTTGCTCCCAAGGCTGTTTCTGCTGAGGCATTTGGGACCACACGGCTTGGGGATACAAAGCAAGTCCTAAATCTGACCACTCAGAGGGAGAAAAGCCAGATGCTGATAGAACCTGGAGGACCTCTCTTCAGTCATCCCATAAGCCTGTCCTAAGCCTCTGCCGGTTATCCTGCCCCAGGGCAGCTTGCAGACATCAAATGAAGACAGAAACCTTCCAATGAACACCCATGGCCATGTACAAGCTTAAGCAAAAGCTTTAAGAAATCTTTCTACCCCAAACTTTGCTTTAATTTTTTCTGGCTACAGTTTTTACCCTTTGGGCTCCATTTCAGTCTGCCCTTCACCTCTGGGTATTTGTGAGCATCACCTGCTGTAACCCAGCAGCACATGTGCCTCTGCGTGGGGACAGTCAGAGAAGTTCAGCTTAGTTAATCAGAGAATTGAATTTCTTGGCAATGAACCTGCCTGAAATTCCCATTTGACCCAACTCACTCAGCTTGGAATGGCTTTAATGTGATTTACCTGATTTCACCTTGGAAGCTACAGCTGCAGCACATCAATTTCGGTAACTTCAGTAATGACATCTCCAACACAGAGAGGGGAGAGAAATCCTCTTCATTGCCACAGCTTCCAGGCATGAGCTCTTTCCAGTGACAAAGCCCTGTTGTTCCAGGAAGGAAATCTGTGAACATTAGAGTCAGGTGGATAAGTGAGGAAATCTTGTTAACCAAACCAAGCCATCTCCCAGCATTTTAACTAATCCTTAGAGAGAAATTTGATGAGGCTTTTTTGTACACCCAGGAGGGGAAAGCATCCGTCTCCGTGTCCCATCCCAGTGCTGGCATTTCCTGCACTGCTCCCAGTGGTGTCTCCTCTGCTTGTGCGCTTTGTGGGAGTACAAAGCTGTGAAATCTGAGTGATGCTGAGTGCTGGCAGTGCAGGGTACGGCCCCCCTGCCTTGGGGAAGGGGCTTCAGCAACCTTCTGGAGCACACATCTTGTGAGGAACAGCCAAAGGAACTGGGGATGTTGGGAGCCTGTTGAAAAGAGACCCAGGGGAGACATTATCAGTCTCTACCAACTACCTGAAAGCAGGTTGTAGCAAGGTCAGGGTCAGTCTCTTCTACCAAATAACATGTAATAGGACAAGAGGAAAAGTCCTTAGGTTGCTCCAAGGGGGTTTAGACTGGATATTAGGGATAATTTCTTCCCCAAAATGGTTGTCAAGTATTGCCCAGGGCAGTGGTGGAGTCACTGTCCCTGGAGGTATTTAAAGGATGTGTAGATGTGGTGCCTGGGGACATGGTTTAGTGATGGTCTTGATGATCTTAAGGCCTTTTTCAACCTAAATGATTCTATGACTAAATAAATACATACCTTTGCTTGCACTTTTGATTCTCCCCATCATGGGCCTAGTGGGATTTTAGGTGCCCACATGGCTGCATGGTGACAACTCCTTATTCTTCAAAGTCTTCAGAGAAACCAAACCTAAACTTCCCTTTAATCCCAGAATTGAGTCATTGGGGAGAGCCACGTTTGGGGTGGGCAGCCCCCATCCACAGCTCCAAGGTGGGGGAACACACCAACCCTCTAAGCCACGGTGCAGAAGGATGGAACCCACTGGGGACACTGGCAACAGCTCGAAGAAAGACCATAGGAACTAAAGTCACAAACAGAACTGGGTTTTATTACGAAATAACCCTGCCAGTACATAAGGAAGTTCTGTCTGCAAAGTACATTTCCTGAGGAAAGTAGATCACAGTATTGGTTTTCACAGAATAACATGTAGCCTGCTATAACTTTCAATGTGACTCTTTATTATTTAAATAGGAACAGTATTCCTTCACAGAAACAAGTACTCAGTCATCACGTAACCAACACACAAACGACAAAATAAATATACAACAAGAGCACAGGTCAATGCTTTTTTCCCCCCCCTCCCCGACTTAAATATTAAATAAATAATAAATACACGATTCTCATCTCCTGTTATCAGTGCCTGAAACGATAGGAATGGAAAAGAAAGATCGAACTGAAAAGGTCTCTCTTTTGCCCCACCGTCCCTCCCCCCCCTCAAGTGCTCCCGCAAAAAAACAAACCAAAAACTTATCAAAAGGTCTCAGGTATAAAATATCTTTAAAAAAATTCCCTTCCTTAAAAGAATAAATAACAAAATATATAAAAAATAACTCGGTTGCATCAAAATTCCAAGTAGGAGTTGGAGATAGGGGTTCTTTTTTTTTTCCTTTTTTTTTTTTATTTGGAATATCTTTTTTTTTATGGTCAAAAGTTTTAAATTTTAAGGTTTTATTATTTTTTTGCTTTTTCTTTTTTTCCTATGGTGCAGTGTCCAGTTTTTCAAACCAGTAGAAAATTAATAAATAAAAAAGTTAAATAAATAGCAAAAAAAAAAAGTTAACAGAAGGTGTTGTCAATATAAATTACATACATCTTGCCAAAATTAAATAATTTACAGGATAATTAAACTAACTACTTATGGGTTTACCCCCTCTCTTTCTTCCAGGAAGTGCAATTTCTCTACTTTTAAATACTAACTGAATTGCAGTCACAATCAATTTGGACTCTATTTACATGTTAAGAACATTGTGTTTTTAACACCTCAAATTAGTATTATTTCTTTTTTTTCCCCTTTCTTTTCTATGTTTGCACTTGGAATGGGTTCTAAAATAAGTGAACTCATGGAGTCTGATCCTGCAAACACTTATGGACATGAGCAAACCCACCCACCCCAGCTGCCCTGTTGAGCTCAACAGGGGAGCCAATATGAGCTGAGTCACTCGGGAGCTCCAAGGACAGACCCAATGGCTGCTGCAGTCACTGGGGAGCTTTCCATCGACTCCAAATCATGGATTACACCCTAAACCCCAAATATCTGCAGGATTGGGCTCAAAATGACACCACAGTTGTGCCTTTACGAGGGCTCAGCAAAATCCACCCCAGCTCTGCCCTCCCCGCTGCTGGGAGAGATGTGGGATGCAGGATGCATCCCATGCTGGGACCCGTCAGGGAGCTTTTCCCCTTTCTGCTTCCAAAGCATTTGCAGGAGGGGAACAGCGAGCTCCAGATGGGAATGAGCATGGGGAGAGCACGTGGGGTGCTGCAGAGACATTCATTGAGTTGTTCTTTAAGTGCACAGTGGGCTGCGTGGACCGAGCTGCTTACAGAATGCTTCTTTGGAAGAATACCCAATACCTGAATACTCTTTTTTCCTCCCTTTTTACAGCACTTGTGCTGTGACTTTTGCAGCAAGCGTAGAACACCAAACCCAAAACCACCCATTGCCCTGTGGATACCTGTAGGGAATCAACTACTGACTGGTGGTAGTAAGCACTTTGCTGGCCGTTAATTGACATCTCTCTTCTTGTTGGTTTTTGTTTCTTGGGTTTTTTTGCTGTTCATCACAATCTCAGCCGTTTCTCTGGCATTCGATGTATGACCTGTGGACTGGCAGTACTGCGCCACTGCAAGGGTGATCCCAACAATGAAAAGAACCAGAACTGTCATCAAACAGACTTCCAAAAAATCATATACACCGGACCATGACACATTAAAGAATTCTTCTGTAGGAAATATCTGGTATTGGCCTATTCATAATAGCTATTCTCATATTTAAGACAGACAAAGGAATACTGTAGTTGCAAACTCCAAAGCTTCCCTGAGAACCTTTTTTCCATTGCGCTTTCCACTGGAGATCCAGAACTGCTCTTCAGATTTCTTTCAGAAAATAAAAATAAGCTACTTTATAATACTTAAAGAGTTCCCATGCCCAGTGGAGATCTGAACACTTCGGGGCTGGGAGGCCCAGCACCGGTTCAGATTTACAGGTGGCTTGCAGCTCCAGCACTTGTAGCAACACAGAACATAATTCATGTGTGAGTAGGTGATCTGGACATAGGACCATAGACAACATGAGGGTTTAAGCCAGTCAGATGCTAGTCTTGGATCAGACAAGACCCTGTTCTTGTAACGTTTTAACCCTTGGATCAACTCCGCAAGAGCACGGCAACTCAGGAAAGATGCCTGCTCTTCACCAGCTACCAAGCCCCACAGCCTACTGGAGAATTCAGCCTTCCATCCTGATCTACCTCGTGGTCCAGGTAGAGAAAAAAATCCCACTTTTCTCAAGAAGGTCCAAAGTTAAGTAAACGAGAACATTGAGTTTGATCAGTTCCACGTCTCACAAATGGCCTCTTGGTTACATTTTGGTCCTTTTTTTTTTTTTGTCTTTTTGACTTTTTTCATTCATTAAACAAGTTTTCTAACTTGTAAACCTGAATATTTGGAGGGATAGTTCCATCTTACAGGCTGGTCGCTTGCTCGTCTGTGTCCCGCACCACTAAACCTGGATGCCCTTGACGGCTTGCTTGATGGTCTCCAGCAGGTCCTTGTTCTCTGGGTTCTGATAGCACTCCTGGTTGGTGTACATGTCAGTCAGTGTGTTCACATATGCATCGAAGTTCTGCTCACTAATTGGCTCCTGCAGCCAAAAAAAGCCAAATGAAAGTGTTAGTAAAAGTAGAGCAAGAAGATGCAGAGATGTTTCTTTGCAATTAATCCTTGAATTGGTTTGGGTTGGAAGGGACCTTCAAGCTCATTCAGTTCCAACTCCCTTCCATGGGCAGGGACCCCTTCCACTGGAGCAGCTTGCTCCAGGCCCCTGTGTCCAACCTGGCCTTGTGCACTGCCAGGGATGGGGCAGCCACAGCTTCTCTGGGCACCCTGTGCCAGCGCCTCAGCATCCTTATAGTGAAGAACTCTTCCTAATATCTAATCTAAATCTCCCCTCATCATCTGTGTACGTACCAACAGCCAAAGGTCTCCACAATGGAGCCTTTTAGTGTGTGGTGCTGTAGGTATTGAAATCTCATTGTGTAACCCCTGCTCCGGCCAGATCCTAACTGGGTTCTTAATTATGTGCATTGGCCTCATGGAACTATTACCAGCACCAGGTTAAGCATGTGCCGGGAGATTGACAAGCTCGAGGCTGAATTAAGGCATGGAAATGAAGGGCTGGAGGATGGGAGGACTGCTGAAACATCATGGAGGGAATCAAAGGCAAAGTTAGGACCGAAGCCTGTTCACCTTGGGCTGAATGCTGCTGTGCAGCTTTTGCTTTTGAGGGGCATGGTGGTAACCTTGCAAATGCCTAACTCGGAGTTAATGGGGAGAAAATAAAAGGGGGAGGAAGAAGAAGAACAGGACTAAAATGAGCAGATGAGTCTCGTGGGCATTCTTTAATTGGAGTTGCCTGAAACCATGAAAAAATATTTGCTGAACAGTTTATTTGACCTTTATGTGTCAAACACTTGACAAAAAAATAGCTCTCAGCGAGCGGTTTTCTGCCAGTTAGGCAGCTGGGTGAATGCTATCCAAAACTGCTCTGCTGGAGGATGGCTTCTCTCCAGCCAGCCTGGATTTAAATACAACCCCCAATGAAAAGGATTCCCAACAAAAAAAAAAGAGGAGAAAAGATGGCAGAAAGAAAGAAATCAAAAGCTTGTTCCTCTCATCATTGCCACGGTCTTCATGAGTTGTAAGAGGACTCCTTCTCCCAACAACACGAGCCCCCCTCCACACACCTGGCTTTGACAACAGTAATTACATTGCTGGGAATAGAGGGAAGGTAATTAATAGCCTTTTGTGGTTTTACTATTTTAATGCAGGCTTTTCATTTTGCAGTAACTCTATGGTAACATGCTGTGGGCTGTGAGACCTTGTTAAATTAAACAAAATACACTCTCTTTAAGAATGCTATTCTTTGGCTGCCAGCTATTGAAAACTGAATTGAAACTACCTGCATTATAATAGGAGCACTAAGATCTTTCTGACGTTGAAATCCAATCCCTCCTGATCTCTGCTTGTGCTGTCTTAGCCTAAAAGGTGCTGGGTGCCCTTGATAAAGTTTCCTATTTTGCGATAACGCTCCCAGATGTAATGAGACAGAACAATAGATCCAAAGGCAGATCAGCAGAAAATGACAACAAAAGGGAGATATAATGCAAGCTTCAGAGATAAGGCAAAAGTACTGATCTTATAAAGGACACGTAGGTGTGTGTAGAGAAATTCTTCCACTCTAATTGTGTATAACCCTTATTGTGGATTGGGTTTGGCACAGCTGCCTCCATCAGGGCCGGCTGGGGTGAGCGCTGTCAATGTTTCTTACCATGTGCGGAAGGCGGATATTGGCAAGACTTTGGATTAGAGCCTGGCTCAACCCTGAGAGCTCCAGGAACAGGGCTTCGTTTTGCTCCTCTATGATTTTGTTTTCCTCCTCGATGTTCTTCAGGTTCTTCTCCATGCTGGAGATCTGCAGAGCAAGGAGCACAGCAGCGTCACCAACCCTCATGCGATGTTACCCACCACCATCCGCCCAAGGGGCTTGGCCATGCGTTTATGGGCTTGGATGCACATCCAAGCACACAAACCTGTGACTGCAGTTTCACCATGGCTGCTTCCATCTCCGAGTTGGACTCGTTCAGCTCACTGATCTCCTTGTTCAGCTGCTTGATCTCTTCATCATTCTCCAGAACTGCAGGAGAGATGATTATGGACAGTTACCAACATCACTACTCACAAAGTAGCCTTTGCTTTTGCATCCTTGAAACGGGACACACATCTCACCTGCTTTATATACATGTGTGTTTTTTGTAGTAAGGGTTTTTATCATCACAGTTCAATGACACTTGAATAGGTCAATATGTAAATGCAAAAGCAAATGACGGTGTAGCACCGTCCAGCATATCCCTTGTTGTGGGGTCCAGCACATCCCTTGAAGGTCAATTGGGTCGCTCAAAGGTTGGGAAGATGCCATTTGACAAACTAATGCATGTCTCGATTAGAAATGATGAAGTTCATAAAACAAAGGAGTATTTATAGAAGAGTGCAAGTATTTATAGGTTCCAAACTATAGACGTATTCAAGTTAAATGCCCGAACCTTGTCAGATACCACAGAAACCTCAGTAATAGAACTGGAAACGCAAAATGCCATCGCTAACAAAATTCCACATCCAGAAATATCTCAGGATTAAAAGCCCTGAATAGGTGGAAATTGCTGAACGACTGCAAGGGGTTTGTAAAAATGCCAGTGAATATTTGATTAAAAACCCCACAAAAACCTACTACTTCAGCATCATTTTTTACTTGCCTGGAATTTCACTATGGAAACTCCTTCTTTATCGTGTCGCTCAGGAGCGGTGCTGGTAGCACCCCCCAAAACCCAGGAAACCCCAGGAATGGGTGCTCATGGCACAAGTCATCCTTGCAAACCTGCAGCCAGATTTGAGTTGTTTAATCCCCCCGCACTGATCTGCAAAGAAAGGTTCATGGACCCAAGACCTTTATACACCGCAAGGCAAAAGAAGTACAAGTCCTTACCATCGCTGGTCTTGAACTTTGTGTTGAGAATATCATCCCCTGAGAGTTTTCCTTTCTTCCCAGCAAAAGTAGCTCTTGGACACCCCGACAAACTGAAAAGCAATTAAAAATGGGTTTCATGAACTCTTGGTATTTATAGGTGCTTATGTTCCCAACAACAGCTCATACCATTTGGTGGAGTTCATGCTGTGAGACGGTTCTTGTAAAAGCTTTTTATGGCACAGAGGAAATTGCTTTATGAATAATGCCACAAAACTCCTCATTTATAAAGCGAGAGCAATTTTCTCGAGCAGAGATTAAAAAGCACACCATTTCCTAGAAGAGGGGCTATGCCAGGTCAGAAAGGTGAGATGAGTCTGGCCAGTGGTATGAAACCTTTGTTTGGGGTACCCAAGTCCTGTCTGACATGCTAATGAAAGGACATTATATTATCAGTTTCCTTTATTTTGCTGAATCTAATTCCATCCAGGGAGATCTTAGAGCAGCTTCCAGTAGCTAAAGAGGTTATATGAAAGCTGGAGAGGGGATTCTGACAAGAACCTGTAGGGTCAGGACAAGGGGGAATGGTTTGAACCTGCCCGAGGGGAGACTGAGCGGAGCTCTTAGGCAGAAGCTCTTCCCTGTGAGGGTGCTGAGGCGCTGGCACAGGGTGCCCAGAGAAGCTGTGGCTGCCCCATCCCTGGCAGTGCTCAAGGCCAGGTTGGACACAGGGGCTTGGAGCAAGCTGCTCCAGTGGAAGGGGTCCCTGCCCGTGGCAGGGGTTGGAGCTGGAGGAGCTTTAAGGTCCCTTCCAACCCAAACCAGGCTGGGATTCCCTGATAATCACTATTGCAATATTAAAACAATTACGCATTTACTTCTAAGTAGAAAATTGCAACCTCAAAGCCACCTGAGGTCAGCACATAAAGCTCCAGCTATTGAGCCTTGCATGTGGAGCTGACCGATGCTCAAGCAGCATCTGCACAAAGATGGGTTAGTCCATGGCAATGTCAAACTCACAATGATTTCGACGCTGTGATTTACCTTCTGTGAGTGAGGAAGCTCCCATTGGCATGGCCAGAGCCGTCGCAGCCTGGGGTAGGGCAGGTGGGGCCTTCGTTCTTCAGTGACTTCCAGGAAAAGGAGGAGCCATTGAGTGATCCTTCCTTCTGCCTGCGGGCTGCCAGGGGGCACCCCGAGGCGCTCCGGTGGGAGGCGTATTTGCCACTGATGTGCCCAAGCCCAACGCAACCAGGAACGGGACACCTGGGCACAGGGAATTACAGCACAGGAATGAAGAGGGAAGTAAGGAAATTGGGGATGAGAAGGAACCAGTTCGTTCAACCCTACAGTAGGTCAGCGTGATGTGCCCACAGGGGCATAACCCTTCCCATGAACCAGTCCCTGACCTGGAAGCCCATCAGGCTGCAACCTGTGCACTGAGGTATCTGAAGGGTTTCTGAGCCTGTATCTGTTAAGACAAGACAAACAGACCCTGTGGCACTGCTCAGACTCACTTGCCTCCTCTTCTTGGTTCACATTCCATGGCTACAGAGAGATAAACCTATGCTCTCAAGGGGATGAAAGTGGGAATTACACTCACCAGCCCTCCCATCCTTCTGCTTTTGCCACCATTTCAAGCATACAGGAGCTGTGAGGGGTGTTGTGGAAGCACAGACACAACTTGTGCTGATTGCCAAGAGGATGAGGACCTCTCTAAAGGGCATCTCCTTCCTCCCTGCTCGCATCCTCTCCACCTAATGGCATACTCACTAAATTCAGTTGTTCCACAAAGCCCTTTGTGTCTATTAGTGTTTCTGCTGTAGCTTGCATTTGTTTATAAAGATACTGGTCAATAAGAAATACAGTTTAAAGTTTATTACTCAAGGGAGATTGCTCTAAAAGAAGGGGAGGTGGAAATAGGTAAGAAATGGCAGAAATAACCCCCGTGTCCTGGCTTTGAAAGCACTTCAGGACTCAGTTTCCCCAGCCAAACACCCATTGAGCTGCTCCTGCAAATCAGGAGCTGCATTTCACTGCCCTGATTGTTTGTGTTTTGTACAAAAGGGAGATGACAGCAAAGGGAGGGGGGGGCTCTGTACACTCAGCCCTTTCCCAAGATAATTTGAAAACTGCTGATCTTGATTTTAATCAGCTGCAAATGCAGCACAATTCACTTATAATATCCCTGCCAGCAGGATCCTCAGTAAATTCATAACATCATTGCTTTTATATGATCACGAGCAAATTACTGAATCCTCAGGAGGAAAAGGATGGGGAAGGGGGGAGGAGGAAGAGCAAGAATGAGACAAACCCCAGCGTTTAGCATGCAGCCATTACAGCCCACCCATTACATATTTTACGCTGTTAATTTAACTTTCATTACGTTTTCATTGTTAACAAATAAACCAGAGCCTCATGGTGCAAAACAGCTGGATGGGGCTTTGCTATTAGTATTATTTCTTTATTTTTAATTATTGGTAGTATTTAAGAGAAGCATCAATAGAGTCTGATCAGTTCGGCACCTGTGGATGCTCCCATATGATGCCAGGGCTGGGCTGAAGGTTGAGGTGATCTGTTCGGTCATGTCTGTAGGAAATTACTTGAGGGATGAACAGCAAAAACAACAGGGACTCAATGACTTTCCCCTCGGTGGTGATGTGCAAATCTCGGCTGGCTTCCAAGTGGCGCCCGGTGCAGGCAGAGGAGGGAATTAGAGCCAAAGCTCCTTAACGCAAACCCGCACCGGGCGCACCTTGCTGTGAACACTGGGCTGGGGGAAGGCAGCAGGGAAGGGGTCATTGTGCTGGGTTGTTTTGCACATCTCAGAGGAGCTCCTGCCATGGGATAGAGGAGGAATGCTTTCACATCCTTATGCCACTGAGACCCTCACAGCCCTCCCGGCACTGCCTGCACCCACACTCAGCAAGCAGCAGAGCCACAGTGAGCCTCCAAGGCCAGAACCAGCTGTATAGTCAGAAAATCCAACCCCATTTCTTGCCACTTTAGCTTCCCGGCAATTGCATTTTTAGGGTGGACTAGGTTAAAGCATACAGGGTGTTCAGTCTGGAAAAGAGAAGTCTCTGAAGAGACCTTAATGCAGCTCCAGTGCCTAAAGGGGCTACAAGAAACCTGGAGAGAGGCTTTGGACAAGGACCTGTAGGGACAGGACAAGGGGAATGGCTTTAACCTGCCAGAGGGGAGACTGAGATGGACAAAGAACCCAACACTGGAGGAGCCACTGGGCTCATTTCTGACTGGTCCCAGCCCTGAGTGGGGCAGGAAAGGAAGAGCAAAGCCCTGACTTCCCCATCCCATAGGGCACACATCCCTGGGTGAAGACATAGAGAGGAACAACCACCCAACCACAGGCTCCGGCTGCAGTAAAAGAAGCAAATGTGAACAGTGAAGCAGCTGGGAGTTGCACAACAGCATTTGCTGCCCTTTCCTCCTTTGTGTCGGTGGTTAATGGCACAGCATTCCACCACCAGCAGCAATGTATTGGAGCCAAAACCGGAGTTCTTATCCCACAGATTCTTGAGGAAGTTGCTTAATTTTTAATAAACTCAGCTAACTCCTGCTAATTGCCACACGGCTCATTTAACCGGGAGCTTTCCTTCCTGTGTGCCGAGAACACAGCAGATGGCTCAAATACCATCTTCTTCCTAAAGGTCCTTCTCCTGGCTGGCGCATCCCCGTTTCCCGCAGGGCTCTTCCGCTCCCACAGGCTCCCACTCCAGCTCAGCGCTGGTCCAGGGCAAAACCCACATACACAGAGGTATTCACTGTGTTCTGCAAGGGCAAGACCTGCCCTGGAGCTAAAATGAGCCAAAATAGATGCATTTGGGGACAGGCTGCTGAGCCAAAGGGGTCTGGGCAGATACAGCAGTGCTCATGGCAAATGGAAGCTTGAATGGGGTTAAGAAGGTTTTCTTTATCCCTCTCCATTTCTTCTTATCCCTCTCCACCTACGCTTGCTGGGTGAGTGGACAGGCCCTGGAAAAGCTGGGAATGCTCTGGATTAGGATCCTGGAGTCAGTGCTGGCCCCAGCCTTGCTGTAAGGGTGTCCGGTAGCAGCATGAGAGGTCAAGACACAGACCCTGAACGCATCAGGCCCTGGATGCTGAGCCCGTGATGCTCAGCCTTGCTAAAAGTCAGGACAAATGGATTTCACAGCAAACGAAAGCTGAGGGATTTAAAATCTCCATTCCCACTAGGAATAAGTTCCCTGGGATGTTTAGAAAAATTCAGCCTGAGGCAGAGAGAAAGGCTTTTTGTTGGTTTGGGTATTCACCCATAGCAAAGACCCTACAAAACACGTGTAAATCCAGGTTACTGGATCCTAGTTGGACTCAGTTCCTGTTTCTGCTGCATTCCTAGGAGATAAGCACCACCAGCACCCTTCACCTGCCTGCTGATGCCCAAAAACCTGCAACATTTTGCTTGCCTGTGGGTTTTTACCCTCATTTACAAAGCACAGGTAGGAGAGGAACTGCTTGCACCCTACCAGCTTACCTTTCACATCCACAATGCCAAATACACCATTACCTCCCCACTGCCCAATTTTCCAATCACATTCCAACATCACAACACCATTTTGGGGATTAGGGAAAAATTCCTCCCAAAACCAGCAGAAGAGTTTTGGCTCCAGCACGGGCAGATGATGCTCTGAGCATCATTGTGCTGCTCCGCGTAAATCTGTGCGAGGCAAAAAGGGGATAGAGCAAAAGGCTCCACTCAGGAGGCATCTCCAGACTTACTTCATCAGCTCTGGGTCTTCTTTGTCATCCTTTGTCGGGGTGATCTTGATCCCACTTTTCTTGGCACGAGGGCAGCCTGACAGACTGTGGTTAAAAAGAGAAGAAAGGCCTGTCTCACTGGCAGAATCACTGCATTTGCTATTCCCCCGCTTCAGTCAGCTTTCCCTTGCATTTGGCACAGTGTTTTTGATCTCCCTCGTTTTGCAGCTTCACATCACGAGGAGAAGTCAGGAGGAAAAAAAAAAAAGATAATCAGAAATTGAGGGAGATGGACAGTAATTAATGGTGTCTAGATAAGAAGATCTCTGCTAACAGCCTGCGATGTTTAATGGAATTGTTGAAACAGAAGGCTCAGATCTCTGCTATTAATGCTCTAAAGTGATAATAGAAGTCATAAATAGGTAGCATTATTAACAGGAACATTGCATCAGCTAAAATCTGACCCTTTGTCTTTTATGCTGTTGAAAGGAGCTTCTAATCAGATGCTGGAAACATCAGAAAAAAAAGGAGAAGTCAGATTAAAGAGATGAAAATAAGCTTCAGTTGTCAGTAACATTAATGTTTTATTCAGAACTTTACAACTCTGCCCACTGCAGGGGGGAGAAACACACAAAAAAACCCAACCCAAAATCAAAACAAAACAGAAAGAGGCTACAGAAAAACTAATTGAAGGGAGATCTTACCTTCTATGCGATGCATAATTTCCTGTTATGTGACCAGAGCCATCACAACCAGGAGTAGGGCACCTGCGGAGGAAAGGGAGGCTCAGATTAGCCTGGGGATGGGAGCAGGGGATCGGTGCTTTGCAGCAGCGCATTGCAAGGAGAAGCTGAGGGACTGTCAGCACAGAAGCAGGTTTTTCATCCTGCCCCTTCTCCCTCCATAAGAACAAGGCCTGGAATATCCACCAGAGTCAATGTATCACAGCATGATGGTGGTGTTGGAGAGGAGCATCGGTGGGAAGAGGTGGGATGTTGGAGCACAGTGGATGGTGGCTTCCAGCTTCTGTCCCCCCTCCTCACAAAGGGGACAGCTCAGGAGATGACAAACCAAATAAAAGAGCTTCGGGGCAATGGATGTCATCCTGAAGCCATAACGAGACAGCAGATGCCATCCATGGCCTTTGGGCTGGGCATAAACCTAGGCAAAACTCTGGACACCTCGGCCACCACCAACAGGAAGCCCAACTGAAGGTCTTAGCTCTGGCCCCTAAGAGTGAGTGGAGCAGTGATTTCCACAGATGCCTTTAGCTTTGCAGCTTGGAAAGAGCCTTTTTTAAATGTCCTTTTGGGGTGTTTTTTTTGTCACAAAATACCAAAATTCTCCTCTTTGCACCAGCTCTGGAAAGGGTTTGGCGTTTGTGGGGCAATGAATTGTTGCCATTGGTGAAAACTTTCAGCACCTTATGGGTAAGATAGGATGGGAGAGCAGGAACATGTCCTGGTCCTAGAAGGGTGGCAGGGAGACTAAGTCAGGAGCCAAGGTCAGCATGCTCAGACCCAGGAAAACATAAATACACACAATTAGGGCTGGTGCACTAAGAGAAGGGAGACATCCAGCAGGACCTCAGTGAGGATGCACGCTCCCTAACGCATCTGGAAGCACAGGTTGAGGAGATGACAGTGACATCTCCCTATTATGTGCTGTTAAAGTAGAAAGCAAAACTATTTCTTTGTTGTTCTTGCTTCAGGGCGGGATGGAATTATAAACCCACTCCTTTTGCCTTGCAGGACTTTTAAAGAGGGGAAGAGAAGTGATTTGATTTTCATTTTTAATTATCTGGAGACAAATCATACCGACAGAGACCTTTTATTGCATGTTCCAGCCTGGAGCTATTTTTTTTTATACCAGGTATATTAACCCCTGAAATGGAATTTATAATAGAAACACTGACATGGCCTTATCTGAAGTTGTGAAAAGCTCTGTCTGTGCTATCTGTAATATCTCCAAATCCTCTCTCCCTTCCTCCCTCCTCTGCTCCCATCCTCACTGGGACATAATAGTCCTTGGGAAATAACATTTAAAAGCTTTGTTTTGTTCAGAATTCCTCTGTTTTACACAGTATTTTGATACAAAGCACTGACACTGGGTACCCAAGGGAAGCAGGGGGTGCTGCCCACCAAGGCTTGGTGTGATGCTCTCTGAGGACCAACCCAGTTTGCTTTATATCCAGGTCCTTACTAGCAATGGGCACTGTTCCTGAGAGCTTTTAATATCTTTAACACTAATTGCCTGATCACTGGCTATTCTTTAAGGCTGTTGGAGAAACACCAGTTCAGCAAAGCTCTCTTAAGAGGCCCTTTTCAAAATGTATATTGTCTATAATGCATGATTAAGTGTACTTAGTGCTAATCATGCGAGTCCTTTCCATCCACTAGCATATTCTATTAATATCAACTAATCCAGCTACTTTTCCACCTCTGTGATAAGGAGCAGGCTTTTAACAAGCATTTTTCCTGGCACAAGGATTCACATTGGTGGTGGAGTGTGGAGCACTCCCAGCCTCACACTGCCCTACAGGGCACCAAACAGGGATTTGGGACTTTACCAATCACCTTAATGTCCAAAGGGGGTCCTGGCTGACTCTACTATGGCTTCAACATCATTGACAGCACACAGGACACAGGGCATTATTGGTTTTCATTATAAGCCTATGCAAGGTGAAGTCCTCCGTGAGGTTTTCCTCTCTGTAGAGGCTCTTCAGTTATAGATTTCAGTGTCTAAATAATCCTGAAACTGGATTCAAAGCAGGGAGCTCAGAGGTGAATCAGTCTCCAAAGGTAAGCTGAATCCATGGAAGAGATGCTGAAAACAGATTTGAATGAGGTTTGGCCCAAAGATGCAGGTTGGGTGGAGGAGACTTAGGGTCCCACCAGTGTTTCCATCTCTTTTAAATACTATTTCTATTAAACCTCTCTTTAGGGGAAGCAATGAAAGAGAGCATTTAGGAAACCCTCTTGTGAAGAATGAGCTCCTACTGAAAATGAGGAGTTTGGGGAAGATGGAAACAAAGCTGTAAATGGTATTCCAAGGAATATATTTGAATGAAAGTGGCAAAACCACATTCCTCCCTTCAGGATCAGAAATGAGAACTTAGGAATTCAGGTGCCCATGAGCCCTTTACCCCTGGCTCTGGGTCCAGCCTCACTGAGTGTGTCCAAATCAAATTCCCATGGAAATTAATAGGAACCGATTGTCACTATATCCTGAATGGCCCCTAAAATTGAGGGTATTTTCCCAGCTGTGCCTCTTCCCCAAAATAAAGTATGTGCCTTTGTCTGGGCTTTGGATTATTTGAAAGATGTGCAAAAACACTGAATGAAAAGGCACAAACTAAGGAAAAGAAGCCAAATGCAAAAGGACATTTTCCTTGTGGGAAGGAATTCCCAAAGGAAATCTGCCTGGAACCCAGCTTATTTCTTATCACTGCCCTGATCCCCCCTCCCAGAAATGAGCCTTTCTCCATGCCACTGCCTCTCCTCAATGCAGCCCCTGGAGGTTGGACCCCATCACTGCTCCTCGCAGGTGGATTTTGATCGGCTCTTTGAAAGGAGAAGGGAAGGGATGGAAAAGCAAAAGCAGAGCAAGAGGAGGGGGAGGGGGTAGGGAAGGGGGGAAGAGAGAAAAAAGGGTGGAAATAAAGAAAAAAAGGAGTTTTGAGTTGAGCGCAAACATACTTGAGGTCAGCAGAGTGGGCAGCCATGAGGTTTCTGAGGCTCTTGTCAGCAAGAGGACAACCAGAAAGGCTGAAAGAGAAGAGATGGAATATCTGGATAAGCCAAACAAAAAAGGGGGAAAAAGGGGGGAAAAAAGGGGAAAAAGAAAAAGGGCTGGGGAGGGAGAGGGGCAACAGAAGGGGGAGGAACCAGAACCAAACTAAAGGACAAAAATCAAGATGTCTTTAGAGCCCAAACCATGAGCCAAAGGTCGACCCACCTGCGGTGAGAGGCATAGTTTCCTGTTATGTGTCCGCTGCCGTCACAGCCTGGGGTTGGGCAACTGGATAAGAAGAAGAAGGAGGATAAGTGGATGGATTCACCCGAGAGCCATGGATCTGCAAAGCTGGCTCCTTCCATCAGACCTTAGTGTGTGTCTAATGTTTGCATGCAAACAAACGAGCTCTCTCCCCATCAGCTGCTCTTCTTCCTTTTTTTATTCCTCAAAAGATCACAAAGATCCTCAAAAAAAAAACCCTAAAAAAACCTGGAAAACCTTGTGGAAAATGTGAAGAAAACATTTGGAATACAGAGCTGCTTGGTTTGCTTGATGGCAGTGGGAGAATTGAAGCAGCTGGTTGGGTGGCATGGACAAACGGGCATGAACACCCTGTCTGGGTGCTGCCAATGTGGACGATATTTGCAATACTGAAGCTGCAGGAACCAGCTTATTCCTTGAAAGCCTCAGATTTCAGCTGTATGAAATGGTTTTCTTTCTTTCAGCCCTTGTATCTGCAAATAAAAGCTTGGAAATACTGTTCACTCCACAAAGGGAATGAAAGGAAGCTCTGATTGATGCACCTGAGGGATCCTAAAGTGAGGATGGGCAGAAGCTGCCACATCCTGTCTGCTGCATTTCCCCTCTTCCCTTTCTGCTGCCTTCCCTGTGAATTGCCCTTGTGCAGTGATGGAAAAAGGTGCCATTCCTTATGGGTGTCCAGGGAATAAAACCCAGTCTGTGCCTGAGCAGTGGGTCTCTGGCAGTCACGCCCTGCCTGCCCAAGGTATGCAAGAGAGTGGGGATGTCCCAGGACACCACAGGGATATCCTGGGACAGTTCAACACAAGCTGGGAGAAGGGGACTCAAGGGGCTCACCCTTGCATCCTCTTCACAGCCACAACACCCTCACAAACACAGCAAGCCCTAGAGCCAGCACTGATACGAAGGTGCTCAAGCAGCAGTGATGTACGTGGTACCCACTAGTGCACCAACAGGAGGGTGACCAAGGTGAGGACCATCTTCACATCAACTGCCATCAGCTACACCCAGTCCTGGAGCATCAAACAGACACAGTGGGCAAGTCTGCTCCTGTGTTAACTACAGCCAATTCATTACAGCCCTTGGGCCAGAAAGGAGCAAGGATGCTAAACAAGGAGAGAAGTCTCAGGGCTGCCGATAACACCATTTATTTATTTCAAGGCTATTTCTATTTAGGAAATTTCTCTACCCTTGTAATTCAATTAAAGCACAGGAGGATTTCAAGGCTCTACCTCAGAAATTGCTGTTTATAGCTGCTGGGTTTTAAAAAGCCTTTAGAGCTTTACACAGGGCAGCTGCTCTGTGCTTGGCTCATTTAGGGAAGATGCTGCTGCTGCTCTGCCCCCATGCATCTCTTCCCTGACTGTCTGTTCCTTCAGCCTCCTGCTGCATCACCAGATAACAATGTGTTGTATAGGGTCAGCAAAACCATGCCCTGTTTAACATATAGGAAGGTCAAATGCACAGGAAAAGCCAAGAACAGCAGATCTGCTGGGACATCATGGTCACAACCTGCAGACTGATCCCAGCCTGCCATTAGGTCAGAGCCAGGTCCAAGCTGCAGCGTTTGGGTCAGACTCTAAACATTAACCCCTAATTTGGAGATCATTGTGGATGCAGAGCAATACCCCATCTAACAGAACAGACCTGGGTCTGTGTTTGCACCCACCCAGTGCCATAACTACATAGACATGAGCAAGGTCAGGATCCTTCTCCAATGTGAGATGCACCGTGACAGCTCCCATCCATGAATCCTGCAAGCACACATTTTGTCTCCCACCAGCCTGGCTGTGCTGGGTACATATTTGATAGGTCTTGAGGGCGGGACTTACGTGAGCAACTCTTTCTTGATGTCCTTGGAGAGGAATTTAAGCTTGAAGTTGGTTAAAGTCACCTCCCCTGGGTATTTTCGGTCTTCAAAGTTTTCCTCAGTCACTTCTTGCTCATCTGCTTCCGAGGAGGCAAAAGAGTGGGCAGCAGGCTCTGACTGCAAGAAAACAGACAGGAAAAGTGGTTGTCGTGGTGGTCATTGCTGCTGAGCAATGGGAAAAGGTGGGATCCCAGGTTCATCCCAGCTGAGAGTTAGCGCAGCATTACCAACACTCTCTGTGGTACCCAAACCAGAGATCCAAGTGTCTAATTTCACTGTTTTAGAGGAGAAATGTGGAAACCACGTCTGTACAGGGATTTACACCTGGCTTTTCACAAGGTTTTGGAGGGATGAAGATGAGTGCAATCCCCACACACTCATCCTCAGCAGCACCTACCTCAAAGGACAAACTAGGGGTTCTGGGGGAAAATAGGACAACTGCACAAGCAGCCACGGCATTCAGTCCCGCAAGAGGCATTATTCAAGCATCAGAAGTCACCTCTCACCTCTTCTGGCTCCTCTTCCCGCTGGCGGTTTGGTTTAGTGTAGTCAATGGGCCCATCCCATTCATCCTGGCGGGAGGTCTGGCTGGACTGGGGGGAGGTCATGGTGCTGCTTGTGGCACTGGTGCTGTTTTGGCGCTGGGACACGTCTGGGGACTTCATGCTGGGACTACTGCTGCAGCTGCTGCTGCTGGGAAAGGTGCTCTCCCGCTTGCGGTGCTTGTTCATACTCAAATCCAGAGTCCCGTTTTCATCCACCTCAATGTCCATGGACTGAAAGGTTGGAAACATGCCCAACGTTAGCAGGTGCCAGCAATTCCCAGTGGGCATCTTGCCCCCATTTGTTTTTTGCAGTGCAGGGGGCAGGTTATTCATGTCCCATCCTCTCCACAGCCAGTTAGAAGGAACTGAATGAAAAAGGATGCTCTTTCATAAATAGTTCAGAAATGTGCCCTGTATGACCAGCAATGTGGTTTTATGGCTCAGTTGTTGAACGCAGGCATCTAGTGCCATTTAAGATGCCCCATGGTATCTGAGACATCTGCCCAAGGCTGGGAATGCAACACAGGACTTGTGGAAAACCTGCATTCCTCTGAAAAATAGCTGGAGATCAGCCTGGACACAACTGGGGGATCTCAAATGGCATCAGACACAGAGCAGTGAGCAACTGAAACCAGCTCAGGCTCTGGCTGGGAATGATGATCATCTCAGCTGGGTAATTTGGACCATGATACATCTCCATAACACACTAAGAGCCAAGATGACCTCCTCCAAAGTGCATCACCCAAAGCAGGGAGCTAAAGGGTGACGTGATGAGTTTCTGCATCCCCTCTATATTTAAACATTAAAATGAAAGGAAGGGTTAAAAAAGGGTATTTCTCCCACCCCAAACTTCAAGCTTTAACCCACTCTATGGCAGCTGGAGCCGCAGTCACACGCAGCTCACCTTGCCAGGGGCCTCTTGCTGCTTGGTGCTGAGATTCTCTGGCATCTCCCAGCAGCGGGTGGAGAGGTTGAGGATGGCCGTGGCAGCCATGTGCGCAGCCTCAGCATCCTGCGAGTAGTCGAAGCCTGTGGAGGAAGATGAAGTGCTCTTCACGTAACTGCTGGAGGGGCTGTGGCTGGGGGAAGAGGCCTTTGGAAAAGGTTTGGCTGGAATGAAAGCAGAAGGAACAACACAAGGTTAATGTATAACCAGCATGGAGAGCGGTGAGAGCTTAAGTCAGTCTGACACAGCCCCTGTATGAGCGCATCCAGGGCAGCCTGTGGTTATTACCGATCCACGGGCTATTCTGTTGCTTTTGGAATGATGTGGAAACCTAATTCATTAACGACTCTGCCACCAAGTCCCCAAAGCATGAGCGCTTGCCTTCATCAAAGCTGCTCCTCAGTGCAAGTGGTTAAAGGAGAAAGCTTAGAGAAGCTTCCTGGCTCTTTCTTCATTGTTCTCTCTATGTTCATAACTTATCTGTGGAGCTGACGCACGGGGAGATTTCTTGTAGCACGTTTGAAAACTTACCATTTACAGAATTCCATTAATGGCAAAACCGTGGCCATGAAATACGAGCTTCCAATGATGACACCACTGAAATACGGGCTTTCTGACAGCTGACATGTCATGAGAGTATGCCTGAATAACAGGATTTATTACCCAGCCACGACACTGCTCTGCTGCCCTATAACACAGCGCAAGACAGTGCAATCCTGGGTGCAATTTCTCTTTACGCCCTATGAAATGAAACCGAGTATTTCCCAGGGTCAACCCACAATAAAAGTTGCCCTAATCCCAAACCTTGTCCTAAGAGGGCCCTGACCCATGCAAAGTCTGTGGTTTCAGTGGGTGCAAACAGGGGATCGTCGGATTTTGATCACTCACAGGATTGTATTTTGAATTCATCAGAAAAATCTTCAAATTCTTAATTTTGGGGTGAAAAAGTTCCGCCTTCCAGTCAGAATCTCACCCAGCAAAGACTCATAAGCTTTGGCTTGATGGCAGCAAAAGCCACAAGACAATCCTGGTTGATGTGGCTACAGAGCAACGCGATTTCATTATTCCCATTACAAACTAGTCATATAAGGCACTATAAAATGCTAATCTTCCCAAGGCTTGCCTTCTCCCTCCTTGTGTGCGTATATAATGCATATTGACATTAATGGGAGTTATGCACACACATGCAGGGCAATATAAATCCCCCTGGATGAAGATCTCTTTCAAATAAGTTCTCAGTGAAAGGAACAGATTTCCCTGCTATGATTGGCAATCATATTCATCTTGTCGCTTTGATTAACTCATTGGAGCTTTGCCCGCATGGTTATTCTTGTGCATGGCTCCTTGGTTTCGAGTCCGGTTTAATCCATGTCTTTGCAGCGGGATGCGGGTATTTGCCAGCCCAACCTGACAATATCCCGGATCGTGAGATGCCAATTTCAATTTCACACCGGAGGCTCAGCGATGCTTTTCCATTTCATAAGTATTTCTACCACTAATAGACTCGCAATCAGCAAATTAGTAAAATAAGTGAGGAGAAAAAATAGAAAGGATTATCCTAGTGGGTCTGCTGGAATTATTTTTGTCAGTACAATTACACTGAAAATTCTTTGCTAATATTGCAAATAACACAATCTATTCAGCGAGAGAATCGCTTGTGCTGGGAAACAAATTACTTTTCCATCAGCCCTAACCCAGGATGACAGTGGCAGTTGTGCTCTCTGGCCTCCATCCAATTTCATTGTCTGATCCTGTACAGATTTAGTACTGCAATAAAGGGCGCTTCCATTGTAGTGCAACAACCGGGATGCTTTCAAGTACGAGCACTTTTTAGAGAGCAGCTGCATCAGGATTAAGCAGGATTGTGGAAGTGGGATTAGCCAGACACAGAAAACCCTCTCGAGGCTGCTGACTTCTGCAAACTGGGCTCCTAAATCTAATTCTTTTCCTCTTAAAAAGATGTCTTCAGGTGCACATTTGGTGTCAAAGGGAAGGTGGATTTTAGCATCATCTATCTCTCCACGCAGCATCCCTCCTGCTCCTGGCAGCCCAGCCCCTGAGGGTTTATTTAGCCATTTCATTATTACCCACTCTTTCCTTGCACAGTGCTGTAACCACTGCAGGGTCCTCGGTACAGAGCAGAAGTGGGTGGCTACGATAGGAAAGAGCTGGGAGATAGGAGGTGGATGATCGATAGGTAGCAGAGCTGGAGAGCGGAGCACAGCAGAGAAGACAAATGTGTGGAGTGGGTCATATATAAGATGGAAGAGGAGAAAACTGTAATCCATTTAGCTAGATGAGGAAAGACAGATCAATAGATATGAACTGCAAAGCAACAGGGATAGACTGAGGACAACTGTGTAACTTATCCCACCTAGACACATCGCTCAGGTTAATATTCCCAACCGTTTCTTCTCTTGTTCTACAGCAGCAGGAGGGATCCAGCAGCCCAGCCCAAGCTCCCATCACCCCAAACCCAGCATCCCAAGAGCTTTGCAATACACTGAGAAAGGCAGACTATGCAAAACCCAGCCCATCCCTGCTCCCAACTTACATTTAAAGGCTTTAGGTGAGGTTTCGCTAGTCTGAATCTTTGGGGCAAGCATGCGTTTGCCAAAAACCTGAGCATCAAAACTTGCATAATCGAAGGTGACCTTGGAGTACTTCTCCAGCTCCTTGGCCAGGTTGGCCCGGGGGGTTGCTGGGACCATGTTGGGCCGGTAGCTTCCGTACTGAGGGATCTCCAGTTGCTTCACAAAGCACATAGGCCTGAGGATGAAACAATGAGCAACAGTGATTTCTCTGTTCCTTGAGGAGATGGCTGCTGGGAGGGGACCAGTCTCAATGGCATGTGTATCTACACCTTGCCCCTGAGGGGTTACTGGGAAAGAGGGAGCAGTGACATCCTCCTTGCTCTAGTGTGCATCTAGGTTGGGTTTCTTGGATTCCTTCTTTTATTTTTCCATATTTTTCCCTTTTTTTTCCTCTCTCTTTTTCTCTTTTTAAGCAAAACTCTGAGGTGTCAGTCTCATCCAAACCAATATCCTTGAAGGCTGCTATAATGTGGCAGCATTTTCCAACAGCAGTAGACACTTGAGCATCACTCATTTAGGGCACCGATGACACAGGAGAGTACATGAAGGTTTGAGGACCCCAGTTCATCTCTGCTCCCTGCTGCAGGTTCATTGCAAAGGCACCAGGGTCTCTTTCCTGCCTGCAGAGTCCTTCTTAAAGACCTGTTTCTGCTGAGCTGCCTATCATGAATCAATTTGTCTTGCATATAAATTGTATATAAATGGCCTATTGTTATTCTCCTTCTGGTGACCTCTTTCCACCAGCGAGTCCTTGGAGCAGGAGCTCCTCGGAGCAGGGACCATCCTCGTGATGGCTCTGCTGCAAATAAATAAATAATGGCCCTAAATGGCCTTTCCAAAGCAGCGAGTGCTGGAGCACCAGGGTGCTCAGCAGTCCTGGGGAGCAAAGAAATAAGTTAATCAGACCTTGAAGCCTTTGTGGGAGTGCTGCTCAGGGCTCGTACTGCGGGTTTTATCCTGCTCTCGTTGCAAAATAACTAACCATATTACGCTCCATCTGTAGGCTCATGAATCACATCAGCCACGGAAGCCAGCAGCTACCAGGGATACCCTTAATGTGAGACAGCCCTTTCTCGCAGGAAGATGGAGATGGGTGAAATAACAGAATAAATGTGACTGGTTTGGAAATGAGTGGCAGGCTCCTCTCCTCTGAACCGTGCGGGCTAAGGGAGAAAAGTGAGTGGACTCATGTGAAACTGCCATCGAGTGATTTATATGGAGCCTAAATCTCCTCCTCCCGCTCCCTAAGCCCACCCTACTTATAATGCTAATATAATAGCCATCATTCTCTGGCAGTTTGCATTGCAGAGCAATCGGCACAAATGCCGTCTGCTGCACTGGTGAAACCCTTTGGCCTGTAGCCTCAGCATTAATTGATGCTACAGAAGCAATTCATTGTCCTCAATGCCCTCCCTGGGATCATCAATTAAGTATCTCCCCACCTTGGCGAGACCTATGATGATAATAACAGGACTCAGCAGTATCCAGATGCAGCCAGAGGGAGCCGTGACGGATGCTCCTGTGAGCATGGCAGCACAGGGAGGGCTGGGGCAGTGTTACCTGCTGTGGTCCCACTTACCTGAGTATCCGGTCAGAGTTGGAGCTGGTCTTTGAAGGATCACCAGACTGGGTTTGTTGCTTTTCATGTGATTTGGCTAATTTCTCAGCAGCAGCAATGGGGCACCCAGATAAACTGTGGGAGGGATTTTAAAGGAAGAAGAATAGAGAGAACGAAGCCAAGTATGAGGGATGAGCATGGAAATCTTCATCTCAGGCACCCACTGAGCCCATGAGAAAAGTGTTTGCATTTAAAGTTTTTTATTATTATTTAAAATTATTAATAACAATTATAATTATATTAATGTTTGTTATTAATATGTATAATAATAAAGAATTTAATTTATTATTATTGCTTTTAGTTTTGGTCAGCAACAAAGCAGCCAAACATCTCCAGGATGAGCCCTGGAGCATCCCCAGGGCACGGAGGCAGATTAAAGGAGCAGCTCCCCTGAGCTGAGCACAGAAGGAGATGGAGCTGGTTTCTTTGAGTGGTTTTAGCAGTTAAATGGCATTTTTGCAGTTGTATTTATGTGGATCCTTTGCAGGGAACCTTCGGAGGGGCACTTGCAGGAAGCATTTACACTTCTGATGTGCAGGGCTGACAGCACATCGGTGCCTGGGGGAGGTTGGGGGCTGTAATGGCTTTTACTCACATACACCCTAAATGTGAGCCAGGCTCTGTCTCTTTGGGACGGTTTGGCTCTTACAGCAATTGCTTAGGGAAGGCAAAAACCCCTCTACACACTCCCAGTCAACCCCAACCCATCACAGGCACATTTATCACCGGAGCAGCCAGCACTGGGAGAACCCAAACCCAGCCCCATGTGAAATTCAGAGCTCTCACCCCACTGGATCTCACCCCAAAGCTCGCTCTGTAACCCCCTAGCACCAGTGGATCACCTCAGTCTCACTGTGATCACTTGCTGCCTGCACCAAACCCAGCTTCTCAGTTAACCGAGCAGATTTCCTCAGTTCTCCTCCAGCACCTACAGTGAAGCATCCTTCAGCTTCCTCCACGGCTGAACGAGTCATGACACAGACTCACCTTGTGCCTGCAAGCGCATCAGCACTCACAGAGCTGTCACTCTCTGCCAGTTAAGCTCAAGTGCAGCGAATGGCAAATCATAAATTCATGAGTGCATCCCTGCAGCACAAGCTGGTCTGGCTTTTTGAAAGGTTTCTAGCTTTTAAGTGCACCATCACCTCCTCTTACAGCCTTTCTGTTTGTAGAAGTGCTCAAATTTAGCTGAAGCCAGAGCATGGGGTATAATTATAAGGTCCCAGAGCACAGCCCTGTCCCCTCCTGACCACATCTGGGCTGAAGTCCTACAGCAAAAGGACCTTAATTCCCAGGTCAATAATCAGCCTAAATAGCATGGATATGCCTAGAAATCCTGTACAGCACCACATCACTAAACACAAACATCACCCTGCAATCAGCGTCACAGGGCACCCTGTGCCAAGCACCTCTTTGATGAACACCCACCTCCATAATCCCACCTGGCAGCATTGCCATGCCCTATTGCCCAGCCAGAAATCACTGCCCCATCATGCTTTCCCACGTTATTCTTTGTCTTGAGATCATCCCTGCTTTCCTAGTCTTAGTTGCCCCATCTCTCAATGCAAGAGGGAAGCCAGGGCTTTGGGGGTGGTAGCCCTACTGCCATCCTTGCCCTGGCCATTAGGGAGAAGAAGTCAAAGCTGGTACCTCCTGTGCGTGTTGCGGTTGCTGTTGACGTGACCCTGTCCTGTGCAGCCTGGTGTGGGGCATTTCAACACGTTCTCGTGCATCGCCAAGACTTGGGGGCGAGAAAGGGAAGGGGAGAGGGGAAGGGAAGCAAAAACAACTTGATAAAAATCAGAGGGAAGAGAAAAAGACAAAATCATCAAGTCTTGGACTTGCTAGTAACCAGGGAATGTGAAATGCTCTGATTAGAAGTTGTCAGTGCAAAGAATAAGGGATTTTCAAAGCAACAGCACACAGGTCAGCACTAGATTAGCATCTCTGCACACAGCCTGGCCTCCTTTGCCTATTGGAATCTGGTTTCTCCCATCCCACCACCACCCTTTTGGAGCCAGGTCTCCCAGTTTCAGGTAGGTTTGAGTGATTGAAATTATCTCTCTGCTTTCTCCTTAGGACTTGTCCTTTTCTTTTTTATTTTTTTTATTTTTCCGATTTAATTTTAATCCTCAGGATTACTGCTTCCTGCAGCACTGACCTTAAAAGCACAGACAATGCTTTGATTTGCAAGCTTTTCTAAAGCACGCAGCTCATGTTAGGGGTTTATTAATACCCTTTTCTTGCATTCAAGCTGTACTTCCTCCTCGTTTCCTGCAGTTGGGTGTTTATGACAGGTCTGCAACCTTTGAAATTACTGATAAGGAAAGGCTCCTTTTTTTTTCCTGTCTATTATGGCATTATCATAAACATACAACATTGATTTTTATGTACATGCACAGGGAAAGCTATTTCAGATGCTGATAGAAAGGTAAAAATAAAATCTCTATGCATCTGTATATATAAAAAGCTGTTATGATGATGATAAATATTTTCTGTGGAAGAGATGAATCTTGGTATAGCACCTTGGGAGTATTACAGTGATGAGAGCATAAGAGGAGACACATCTCTCCTGCACATCCTGAACAACTCCTCTCCTTTGCCATACAGCAGCACCTTCAGCACAGCTGGACAGTGAGAGAGAACAGTTTCCCCTTTTCCCAATGTGATATCCCGAACAGGGAAAAATAAGTGACATTCAGCATAAGGATGGGAGCTGCTGAACACACCTCTGGAGGTGGGTAGGCGTTTTTAAAGCACCTCTTGGATATGCAGAGAAGGGATCTCATTCTCCACAGGATGGTGCTAAAAATCTTTAAGAAGGGTAAGGCTTCCCAGTGAACTCCACAGCCACCAACCGTACCCATATGGTGGATAGAAACATCCCAGAACAACTTGGAAAGGCATCATCCCATGCCACAAACTATTATACCCCAAGGATTAGCATCATGCTTGCTCTAGGGATTCAGTCATAAAATTCACATCATTTGGGACTATTTGCAGAGTCTGTTGGCCTCAAGACAGCTCTACCCATTAGGTGTGAAATTCCCCTTAGGAAATAAGGCTTCAGACTAATTTAAGCACCGTGTATCCCACCATGTACTCACTCTCCGGAGGGATCCTGTCTTTGTGCGGACAACCAGAGAGGCTGCGGTGGTGAGGGTAGAGTCCCGTGACGTGGCCGGTCCCATCACAGCCAGGAGTTGGACATTTGATTTCTCTCTTCTCGGGTCTTGAGGGATCTAGGGAATGTGGGGGAAAGGCAGTGGGAAGCAGGTCAGGGATTTGGAGGGGAAGAAGTTAAAAGGAGAAGAAAACTGCTGAGGATGCTTCCCACCCACTTTTCCAGTGAAACAGGGAGAAACCCTTTGGGTTTGGAGGGTTTCTTCCTGAAGGTGGATTTACAACACTGGAAGCTCCAGAAATTAATATCAGCAAAGCCATTTGAGTAATTAACCAGGCTTGGAGCATGGAGCTCCTCACAGTGATGGAGCAGGCAGCCCAGCTCTGCATCCAGGGGACTCAACAGCCCATGCCAAGTCCCCTGTGTTGTTGTGGCCATTCTCCTGCCACTGCTTTAAAACCCACTTGGATTTTAAACCAGCCCTACTGCTCAGGCTGAGATTTAAGGCCAACAACCAGTTTAGCCAAGCAATTCCCTTGCTGAGATGCGGATGACACCTACATTTTGTGCATTCAGTGTTGACCTCTAGGATATCCCCATCCCTCTGGGCATTGAGGATTTGTGGCTAAATTCCCCCTGTGGGCTGTGAACACCCCCCAAGCAGCCTATTTCTGATGGGGTGCTAAGCAGACAAGTTCAGCTCTTCCATTGGGCATGGGCAGGAAGGAGGCTCATGTCCCCATACCTTTGCCATAGTAGCTCTTCCGGATGCTGTCCAGGGGTTTGCTCTGCTTCTCATCCACGGGGAAGTGCTTCACGTGCTCCCCCGGCAGCCGGCTGGGCTCCCGCACAATTTTCACCTGCTCGGCTTTCAGCGCAATGGCTTGTTCCAGCAGCCCCAGGTTGCCCCTGGTCATCATGTCGTACATCTCTGACTCGTCAGTCACCGCTGACTTCTGGGATCGGGCATCATCGTCTTTGTCATCATCCGACCGGACCTCCACGATGACCGAGTACTCGGGCTTGGGGCTGAACTGCCCTTCACAGTGGCTTTTCTGGGTGTCCTGAGAAGTGTGAGGAGCTTCTTCACAGATCACTTCCGGAGCCATCTCCTCCTCCTCTTCATCCTCCTCTTCTTCTTCCTCTTCCTCCTCCTCATCTTCCTCCTCTTCTTCCTCCTCTTCTTCATCCTCCTCCTCCTCCTCATCCTCTTCTTCCGCTTCAGCCTTCTGCAGTTTGCAGGACTCCTCGCAGTTCACATCGTCCCGGTGCTCCGGACACAACTCGCTGCTGCGTTCGCTGGTGACCTCGATGACTTCCTCTGCATCCTCCGTCTGGATGATGATCTCCTTGTCGCACTCTTCCTCCACTAACTCCTCCTCCTCTCCCGCATCCTCATGGACCAGATGCACAACGTTGGATGGGGGCTTGGAGCCCTGCAGCTCAGCCTCAGGCAGCTGCCCTTCGATGGCCAGGGTTTCCTCTGCTATTTGGCCTAGGTTTAGGAGAGAGTTGGCGATTATTTCTTGATAGCTGCTATAGTTGGCCTTGCTGGGCCCAGATGTACTTGTTGCTGTGTTCTGTCCATAATGGGTTGATTTTGATGGGCTTCTCTCTGGGGGGCGGGGGGGGAGAAGGAAAGGAAAGGAGAAAATGGGAGGAAAAGGAAAAGGGAAAAAGGGAGGAAAAGGAAAGGAAAAAATAGAAAAAGGAAAAAAGGAGGAAGAGAAAATAAGGAAAAATGAGGAAATGAAAAAAAGGAAAATTAAAGGAAAGAAAAAAGGAGTAAAAGAAAAGAAGGGGAAAAAAGGAAAAGGAAAAAGGAGGAAAAGAAATTAATTTTATAAGCTCATAAATATCTCTTTGTCTCACTTAAGCTTAATTGAAATCACAGCCTGGCTGTTGTGCCCCTGGAGCAGCCCCATTTATTGCATTAGGGAATGGCAGGTAGGAAAGGGATTTCCATTTGGAAGCTTTTGTGGAGCTCAGATGCATGCAGCTTCCCAGCCCGCCCCCCCCCTCCCCGTTGGCTCCCAGTGCTTCCCAAACCAGAGGCTCCAAACTGGGATCACCACTGTCACTCCTTTGGGATAACCAGATCCATTGGGATTGTTCACTTAGCCGAGCCCCTTGAGGCACTGATGCAGGACCCCGGCTGCTTTCCCTGCTGCATCTGAGCCACGCAGCGAGCCCCTCTGTGCTTTCCATAGGTCCTTCCCCAGGGAGCATCCCTGATGGAAAAGCTCTCATTTGAAGACACTAGGGACAATCTGTGCATATCATATCCCCTCAGTTAACAAGAGCTTTGCCGTTGTGCTTCTACCAAACATAATAACTGAAGGACCCATCATGTACGTAATACAGAGAAGCTATAACTCCTGGTTATTAACACTCCCTGCCCTTTATTCATCTGCAGAGCACAGCCCTGCAATCAGCCATGATAAACCACCTTCTGAGGGCTCGGGGCTGTGGGTTTCCTCCTGCTCCACCACCTCTGCCTCATCCTCCTCCAGGGTCCCCTCCGACTCATCGGAGCCAGATTCCTCCTTTGCCTCAGCCTCCTCGCTGCCGTCGCTGTCGACGTTGTAGCCCTCATCCAAGGCCAGCTTGAGCGGATGGGATTTTCTCTTGGACACCAGATGTTCGGCCTCCGCATCCTGAAGTTTCCTCTTCTTTGCTAGAGGGCAGCTTTGTAAACTGCAGATGGGATCAAGGAGCGGGGAGGAAGCATGGCTGAGTGAGAAGTGCATGGCTATGGCATCAGAATCAGTTAGGCAAAGACGAGTGGGACAAATACACACTAAAAATACCAGATCGTGCAGCAGCCCAGGTTTTTACCTGGTTTAACCCTTCATGACCAGAAGATCCGCTCTCAGACCTTGACTTCGTGCAGCTATGTCAGCTTATCCCAGCACAAGGATGCTGGGATCACTCCAACAGTCCAGCCCCTGAGCAGTTGCCCTGGGAGCAGCAGGACCAACAGCTCCCAGCACCAGTATGAAACCAGGCTGGGTTTCTAGGTCATGTCTACCAACTGCTCTGATTTCACCATTATAGGGTGATGACAACCCTCAGTTAAAGCTAGCACGACCAAGGCAAACGACATGCTCTCGTTTCCCCTCCCCATTCACAGAGGTGCCAAGCAGACCAAAATCTTGGCCTGCCAATAACGCCCATCAACCCCAGGCACCTGACCCAGGTACTTCTGCCATGGTTTGGGCTCTGTGGGAAGGGTCCTGTCAGCCTGGAGAAGCAGATCCCCTGGGATCTCTCACAAACTGATGGAGAGGCTGAAACAGGCTCTTTGGTGGGCAGATTTGGGGCAGGTGAGTGGGGTTGCTTCTGGGAACCAGCCTCTGCCCAGTGAATGCCTCTCTATTGGCTTCTTGCTTGCATTTTGCCATCCCCATTACCTCCAACCCATGCTCACCTTCTGTGTCTTGCATACTTCCCACGGATGTGTCCTGAGCCATTACAGCCTGGGGTTGGACAGCTTGAGAGGGAAACAAGGAACCATCAGGAGCAGCAATAGGACTCGGAGAATTCATTTTTAATTAGAAGTATATAGACTATGACCTCTTAAAACAGATCCTGTGCCCAAGGAACAAAATACCCACAAAAGGGAAGATAATTCCCCTCAAACGGTTCAGCTTGGCCCTTTGAATTCCAAGTGAGGAGGGCAGGAGAGCAGCCTTGCTGTTTGCTAAAAATTAATGAAATTACTCACCCCATTTAATTAAATGAACGGTTCATTATAGTTTTATGAGTATGTTTAATTAAAGATTTGCATGTGTAAGAGCAGGCTTTTAAAAAGCAGACAACCACTGCACTCTGCCTCCCCGCTTCTACTCTTCAGCTTCCTTCCTCTCTGGTGCGGGAGGAAAACGTGGGCTTTTCACCTACTTGATGCATTGTCAGGGAACAGGGGGGGTCCTTGCAGCAGGAAATGGGTGGCTTTGTGGGAAGAGCAGGTTGGGAATGGAGCGAGATTTTAAGCAGGACACATTGGGAAGAGCTCACCAGGACAAAAACCCTTAGGAGCATCTCAGAGCCTCCCTTTTAGGGGAATGGTTGGGGTTTAGATGACCAGGTCTCCCAAATCCCCACATTTGCTCCTGCTGCTCTGCAGGAGAGGGTGAGCTAAAGACTTCCAGGGGCTCGAAGGGGCTGCTGCCTTTGCCATACACCACTCACTGCATCCTTCACCACATCCCTGGCAGGGGTAATTAGTCCCAGCTCCAGGAGCTATAGGAGCTCCAGCTAAGAAGCATTAAAGCAAACATTTTCTGGCAAAACCAGATTATGGCATTGATTATAGGATGCCCAAGTGATTTGCCTGACGTCTGAGGGATTCTGGAGTCGTGTACGATTAATAACCTCATTTAGCATCGCATCACCCTCGGCCCGGGAAGTTGTAAGCGCTAATGAAATCTTGTGATGACAGTGCAAAGGGAGGAGACATCGCCAGCCCAGAGGGGGATCTGGCCAGCCTGTTATTCCTGGAGTAAAAGACACAAGGCAACATTAAATAGGACCAAGTGCCAAGTCAGGCTTTAGGGACGCAGAATTCCTGCTCTCAGCAGAGAGCTCAGCCCTTGCAGGAAGCGATGGATAAGGAGGATCTGAGTGCACTAATGGATGCAGCAGCTCTGGGTGCACCAGTGGGTTATTAATGACTCAACTCCCCAGAACACTGCAGAAATCACATCACTGCATTCAAAGAAGAGAATTCAACCCCAAACTGTGATGGGAAAGGGCTGCTGAGCTGTCAGGAGAGGAGGAGTCTGACCTTCAAGGAGACCTGATTGCTTTAGCTTAGCAAAGCAACCTGGTCTAGTGGAAGGTGTCCCTGCCTGTGGCTGGAACTAGATGAGCTTTAGGGTCCTTTCCAACACAAACCATTCTATGATTCTAATGCTAAGAGGGCAAATGATGGCAGCACATCCCTGACAGGGACACAGCATTCTGTAAGTGGCATGGGTGAGAGCTGCATCTCCTGGAGAAGATGAAGTTCCTGCTTTGCTCAGAATTCAACTCAAGATGCTGGGCATCCTCCAGCACTGTCACTTTGGGGATGGCTCCTAGCTCATCCCACTGAAGTGCACAATTGGAAGAGGGAGCTCCCCCCCTCACTGCTCCCTCTGATGATGATCTCAGTCATGACTGAAGCTGCTCTGTCCTGAGTAGCCCCAGACACACTCTGAAGTGACTGCACACCAAAAGACAGAGCGGTGTTTATACTACCAGCAACTTGCCTGAAAAGGCCCTTATTCAATGCAAAACAAGAGCAGCTCTGATGAAGATCAGATATTTGATGTGGAGAAATGCAGCCTGCAGTGAAAAGTAAGTAGCAAAGAGCCAAGTGGGGTTCAGCATCGAGGTTTCCTGAAGCAGGTGGTGATTTGGGATGTCTGTGGCTTCGGAGTGTCAATTTAACCCCTTTAAAAGCACCAGCACAGAGGTGATGCTTTGCATGCGCTGGGCTGGGCTTTCCTGTCCCTGTTCTCCTTTGGGGAGGTCTCATGTGTTTTGGCAGGAGTCCCAACAGAGGAAAGGGGCTTTGAGGTCTATGAAATCCACTCTCCTTCCCCACCAGAGCCACCACACCGACCTGCTCTCCCCCTCTCCTCAGCTTGACAAAAGGACCTCTTATTGTCATGCAGACGATGCCCTGCTTCCAATTAGTCGATTAATCGTCCAGTTATTCAGGCAATTAGGTGACAGCTGCAGAGATGGCTTTGTGGAGCACTCTGTCCTGCCCCTTATATATGTCACCTGCTCCAATTACCACCTCCACTCGAGTGCTCAGCAATAAAAGTTGGAGAAGTGGCTGTGTGCCGCCCGCTCCTCCCGTCTCTCCGGAGTAATAGGAGAGAGGAGCAGCAGAAATGCTCTCAGATTGGGTTGGTTAAGGTCCAATTACTTTTGACACAACACGGCTTTCTAACGGAGGCTGCCAGAAGAGGCAGCCCCTGCTATTAGTGCCTGTCCAGGTTAAAGACTCCTACCCCTTGCATATGCCCTTGTGCAGGGTTTAATAGGAGCTTAGAGGTGGGGGAGACTGTTATTTCTAATGAGAAGCTCTGTAGAGCTGCAGAGACTTGCTCCTGCTCTTTTGGCTGCTGCTGTTGGTGTGACAGTGCTGCTACATCTGTGACAACAGGACCTCAGTGATTCAAGAGGTGACATAGGGCCAAAGAGGGAGCATCTGGCATGAGAAGTGATGTGGCTCAATGTTGTTTGAGGGCAACTAGAGCATGTGAAATAATACATAGAAAAGAAACTGGTTAGTAGGATGCTGTCCCTAATGATGCAACCTAGTGTGGGCATTAGGTTTTGCTGGGGTTTAGGTCTAGGGTGGGACAGAGAGTGGCTGGAGGGTCTTCAGTTTAATGTGACCTGTCCAGAAGTCATGTTTTCATCCTGTGGTTCCTCTGATGGTGCTGTCAAGTGGTGCCCTGAGAACGTAGACACAAGGAGGTGCCCACCAACATCAGCCCCCCAGCAAGACCTCCACCCCCTTATTCCTATGGGTTCACTGCCCTCACCCAGGTTCCCAGCAAGGGGTCTCCCTTCCCACCACCGAGGAGGAGCAGGGTCCTTACCTCACCTCCTGGCCGATGAGCTCCGTGGGCACTGGGGCAGGACGCAGCAATGGAAACAAACACAAGGTCAAAACCACAACAGGGGTGCCCAGCATCCCTCCGCCCCAAGACATCGCCCTTTGCTGGGGGATCCTCTTCTGCCTACAGCTGGATTTCTATTGCCTTCACAGGCATCCCATTGGGGAAAGGGAGGACAAATCTATCCTGCCATCATTTACTGCGTTCCAGCCTGTAGTTTCACTGCAACAGCCTCATTTACCTCTGAAACACCAACAGGTACAGCCACGTTTTAATGGTCACCCTGGTCTGATGTGGGAGCCCCTGGCTATGCTCAGACACATGGTAGGGGTCGTGTTACTTGGCTTTTAAGCTAAATAACAATTTGTAGGGGGGTTAGGGATTATTCCCCACTTGGGAATAAGAGAACTTCTCACTGCTTGCAATAGCAACATACAACATCATCGCATCACTGCTGAAACCTTACATCCAGCCGGGAATCTAAATAACCAGGAGCAAAAAAGCCCCAAAACACAAGTCCACATTTGCCCAGGCTGAAAATGGTAACACGTTTGCTCAATTTGTTTGAGTTAATTGGGTTTCCTGGGATCCAGCTCCCGATGGGATGACTCACAAGCCTTAACAAACTGGAGGCAGCAGCAAGTCCCAGGGCGAGTGCAATAAATCACCTTTTCACATCCAGAAACCCAGATTCAAGTGTGGGGAATGCAGGGTGCAAGAAAAGAAATAGAATCAGAGCACTCTCATTAGCAGCCTGAGCCACATGCAACAAAGCAATGAAACCCACATACCCTAGCTCAATTCAGCACCATTGGCAGCATCTGGGTTTGGTTTTGTTTGTAAAAAGATGCAGATGCTGAGAAGAGCAAGGAGGAATTGCAGCCAACCCCATCCATTCCCCTCTTCCAGCCACTTTTCCAATTCACTGAATCCAGAGCCACAAAAAGGAACCAAACTGGAGAGGCTGGTCTGTAACCATCACAAGTGCTATGGGACCACGCAAGGTACCACCCCATGCTCCGTATCAGAGCATCTCTCCTTCTCCCAGAGAGAAAGCACCCAAAGACCTGCACGTTTCCTACAGTTGGGAAATGAAGAGCAATCAAGCCTTGCTTTAACAAGCCGTTTGTCCTCACATCCCTGCCAGGGACAGCCTGTTTCCTCCTCCAGCATGCACTACTTCTGCCAGGCGCTTTCAGATGTGCAACTTCAAAGCCGCTGGCAGAGTGCGCATGATGAAAGCCCCAGGAGCTGATCTGAAGCTCCTGTGATTGTGATTGCCCCAAAAGAACAGCATGCAAAGGGGCTTTTTTAACGTGGTTACTTCACCTGTGTGTAGGGGATGGGGGATTAAATACCAGGCGGACCCATGGAGGTTTGTGGTTGGGAGTTTTCCATGTTTATAGATAAATTTTGGTGGGGTTGGAAAGGGGGAAGTGAGAATAGCTTAGAATTAAGCCTGGATTTGAAAAATCAAAGCTTATTTAGAACAAGCAAAGCACAGGGAGCTCAGGTCCCTGCATCCCCATGCTGCGGGATACCCAGCTGCTCACCTCTGATAGACTTGGATCGCGTGCGTGCTCTCTTATCATCACTTTCTAAACTCATCTGGAATAGAAAGAAAAGATAGCTGTTGAAAGATGACATGAAACTTATCATTAAGGGACACTCTCACACGTGGTTGTTCCTCTGTGTAAATAGGGCCGCAGGGAAAGCTTTCTCATGTTTTTGAGGCAGGTTTCTTACTCTGATTTCAGTGTTCAACCCACAGTGCCCACATTTAGCAACCTTAAATTAACTTGTACATCCCAGGACACAAGCACTCTGCCTGTTGGGTACCACAAAAGGACAGCCACCCGGATGTGATGGAAAACAGCTGTGTCTGAGACATCGCTTCTTAAGGGCAGAACCGATGTCTTTGCATTTATACCACACAAGTGCTGTCAGCACCCAGGTGAATAGCCAGCACATGCACAGAAACCTCTCAACATGCAGCTGAGCTGATCTCATGCCCAGGAAGGGCAACTTTTCATGTAGTGCCCTAAAGAGCAACCTTTTCTCTCTGCTTAAATCTGACACAAAGGTTGCATCTAAATAATCCCCGCAACGTGGACATCAAACAGGAGGGTCTGCAGGGAACGTGGGCATGAATAAGTAACATCAGGGACTTCAAAGTGCTTCATATTAATTAAACATCACAATATGCCACAAGGTAGCATAAGGCTGAAGTGCAGCCACCTTTGGGGTGCAGTAGTGTCAGCGGAGCTTTGAAATCAGGCTGTGCCTGAGGTGGGAGCACCAAAAGCAGGGGACCTCCAGGGCAGGGCAAAAGCCAAAGTAATAGAAATGGGGCTTCATTAAAGTTATCAGTGAAGTTGCCCAAATGGTCAAAGAGCTGGGTTTATGTCTCACCCCTGATGCAGATGCTGTCTGCACGCAGGTGAATTTGGCAGCAAGTGCCAAGGGAGTGCACAGGGAGGTGGATCCCTGTTAGTTTGGGAACAAGACAATTTGGGTTTTATTGCATCATTGCCATCTGGGACATTGCCTCCTGGGGTAATAAGAAGGAGGGAGAAAAGGAGAGAAAAGAAGGGGAGAAAGGGGGGAAAGAGGGGAAGGGGGGGAAATGGGAGGAAAGGGAGGAAAAGGGAAGGGGGGGAAAGGGGAAAGGAGAGAAAAGGAGAGAAAAGGAGAGAAAAGGAGAGAAAATGGGAGAAAATGGGAGAAAAGGATCATTTGCCATAATATAAACAAATTCTCTTCGGAGCATCCTCTACAAGGCCAAGCTGGCGAGGGATGCAGCCAGCTCCTTGCCAGCCCCAACTGATGAGGCTCCATAGCTGACCCTCTAGCACCCAGACAGAGGAGGCACAGAAAGCTACCACCCCAGCTGAGGAGCAGGAAGGGACACACACGCTGAGCACATGCTGCTCCGCTGATGATGAGGATGATGCACACATGATACATGCCACCGCATCCCCACATGTGCCTTAGAACTTGATGGATGCTGTTCACAGACCCCAGCAGAAGGGGCTGGGCATCCTCAGTGTTCACCCTCAAAGCCTGCAGGGCTTGTTTGGGCCTCACCTGTCCCCCCAATGTTTGGGGACAGCAATGGGGGGAAGGAGGCTATTGGGAAGGAAGGGAGAAAGGACAGAGGTCCCCTAAAACACCTCAAAGGGGAGGGATAAGAGAGCCCCAGGTGCCTCTCTGCAGAAACACGGCATTAACACACAGTGATTTATGTGAGTTGTTAGATGGGGAGATTGAAGAGAGGGGCTGAAAAGGGGGGGGTGTATCAAAACCTGGAGCAATTTACGCACCCTGTCAGCGCTCAGCTCGTGGCGCCGCGCTGTTGTGCTCCACGTTTATTGCAATCCTCCCAATAACACAGCAGACAATTACTATAATTTGTATTTTTAAAGCCCCAGCTCCCTGTGGGCCAATGGCTCACGTTTAAAGTGTGGAGAGGAGCAGGTGTCAAAGGGACTTCATTACATTTATGAGCCTTTCAGCGTCGGCGCGCACCGAGCGAGGCAGCTAACGCCAGCGCTGCGCACCGGCGGTCCCAGTGCTCCGTTTGATTGCTGGGAGCCTGCCTCCAACCAGAAGGGGGTTCAGAGAAAGCTTTCCCTTTTGACAGCTTTCCCAGGGAATTTGGAACGTGTTGGGCGGCTGCCTAGGCAATCCGGGGTTCCTGCAGGGAGTTATTCGGAGGCAGAGGAGGGCAGGCTGTGGGAAGGGTAATGGGCACTGCCTGCTCTGGTCACATAAAGAGGAAACAATGGGATCCTGCAGGGACAGAGCAGAGCAAAACTTAACCTAAACCTGTCCCCGCCAGGGCTGGAAGTTGGGAACAGCTCAAGCCACTTGTCTATAAAGAGGGGAGAGCCCATTTCATGCCATGTTTGTCTTTAGAAGAATTAAGTGTCGGATCCGGGCTTCTCACTAAACCCACAGCACCTCATAAAGCAATTGCTTCCATTGCCTTGAGCACTACTTTCAAAGCAGCATCAAGCACATAGGGAAGACAGGAGCACCCTCAGTAACTACACGGCCAAGGGAACAGGAGCCGCCTACAGTAGGGATGGACCCAACCTTACTGAGGACCAAAGGATGGAAAAGCCAAGTAGGGTGCCCAGAGCAGCCTTTAAAGAAAAAGCAGCAGCAGAAATATTAATTACTGGGGCTTTCCCCTTAAGAAGACCCCATAACTTGGTTAGAGAACTTGACACAGCTCCACCACTGTGTATTGATGTTTCGCTTACAGCACTGGAGCGATGCAAGTGCACTGTGCGGTCCCAGACTGTTTCCTCCCATCAGACTCCTTTCCTCAGCTTAAACCAACAGCAGCAGCATCCTTTAAATAAAGGTAGAAAACTTCCATTTCCCACCAAAGTGCACAAATACCAAGTTTAAAAAAAAAAAAGAAAAAGATCCATTTCTGAGCTCAGCCCCTGCTCCTCCCAGGCAACTTAAATTAACTGACATGGCCATTACCGCGCTTCTGGAGCCTCTGTGGTTATCAGGCTCGGATGCATGAAGGTTACATGAAACCACTGTCCTTTATTGTTTGCCTCCTCAGCGAGGAGCCCTCTAGACAGATCGTTTTAATGCGAAATTCCAGGTCACACAGTGCATGTTTGCCGTCTCGGAGGCTGACAGGGTATTTTCATTTGTTCTCTCTCTCTTGCTCACACAATAGCCGGGCCGAGGAGCTATCTGGGTTTCACTCTTATTATTTTAACTCTGAATGGAAAACAAAGCAATCTGAAAGGAAACCTGCAAAGCAATGATTGCTGCCACATGGCAGCCTCGGAGTGGGTTAGCTCAGCTAAGAGAAGACAGAGTTATTCTGCTCCTCCTCCACCTTATCACTGGATTATCTAAAGCAAAACAAGCACCTGCCAGGTTTCCTAACCCATCAACCACAGGATGATGCAGGGGAAAGGACTCTGTGCTGTGTCTTAGCGTTCTTGCTTCAGGATTCAGCTCAGTGACACTCAGGGTAACCTTGAGAACATCGCTGCATCTCTGGGTGCCCGTTTTTCCCTCCTCTTCTCTTTAAAGGTGCTGGGTGCAGGAGCTATTTCTCACCATGTGTTTGCCCTGCACTGAGGAGCTTCCCCACACAACCATAATACAGACTCTACTGATGATGTCCCAGAGCTGCAAATCTAAATCGGCGGGGTTCAGACAAACTGAAAGGCCAGTTTAACCTGAGCACAATGCGCATTTTAACAGCCTACATCTATAGCAAACATCTTGCTCTGCTGCCACGACTACAGCGATACAGTGTGAGAACAGCAGCACAGATCTGAAGTTTAATTTCACGGAGTACCTACAGGGTTGATATTTTCCTCCTCTTTCTTATCTTAATACACATTTCCAATGGAAAACTGAGGTGCTAATATAAAACCACTGGAGCCTTCCATGCACTGATGCCCAGGTGTGCCTGGGCTTGGATAGCTCTATGCAAATACACCATTAAGGGCCGTGCTGAAATTCCCCACGGTCAGCGGTAATACTTCATATGTATTCAGGAGCACCACGGAGCTCAGAGAAGATAAACACGCTGAAAAAGCCTTCAGCTGGACAAAGGGAGGTGAGGAATCAGCAGGAATGTTTATTTTAGTACAGCTAAAGCAGCAGAGCTTCCATCAGTGCTTATTTGTGAATACAGCAAAATGCCATTTGCAGGAAGCTGTGTCTGAGCTTTCGAGGGGACCGACGGACAGACAGAGCCTCTATTTTTACTTAGAAAAGCAAAACTCACATTGGCCCAGCAGCAGGTAAGGCAGGAGGAGGGAAATGCCAGGAGAAATGGCATTTTTCCTACAGAATATTTGAGAAGTGCTTTTCTGCTTGGTCCTTCCCTTCTTCCAGGTGCAAAGAGCCCCTTCTGTAGCTGCTAAGGGAGGAGGCAGTGCTGAACACCCTAATGAAGCAGGACCCACCAGTGCCATTCTATCCTGGCCAGGCAGAGTGAGAACATCCAGCTCCCACATCCCTGATTCATGGCTGGGTTCAAAGCCAGGATGAAGGAAGGGAAGAGAGAAGGATGCTGTGTGGGAAAGCTTCACCACCACCATCCTTATCCCAAACTCCAAGTTCTCACCAGGGAACATTAACCTGCTGATTAATCTGCACCGTTGTCTGCTGCTCCTTTCCTACCCAAGGATCACTTTATCAGCACAGGCAACGAAGGGAACAAATCCCCAGGTGGATGTAGACTATGGAGCAAATCACAGCCAGGCAGCAAAACCACTCCTCAGCACCCACCGACTGGTGATGATGGATTTGAATTTGTCCTGATTTCACCTCCCTCTGCTTTTACTTTCTTGGAGGCTTTTTTCCCCCACCCCATGAGGAATCTGCCTTTAAGAGCACAATAAATAAGGGGTGGTGGAGGAAGAAATACCCTTGATCAGGAGTTTGCTTCTGCTTATAACAAAAGCTCATGGTGGCTCCCAGCTGCTATTTTATAACCACGCTCAGGTTAGGGGTTTTTTTCTTTATCCTTCTTCCTTTAGGGTTTTCCTTGCTGCTTGATTTAAACCCTTCTGACATTCCACCTATTGTGAGTCCCGTCCTCAGCTGAATAAACCACAGCCTGCCTTTTGCTTTGGCTGCTTCCAGGAAAGGACACCCCATGTGGCGTTTTCAGGCTTGGAGTCAGAGGGGGAGGATTTTGCCTCGACTCCTTCAGATGCAAACCCACAGCTTGTGCCCACCTCACATTAAACATTCCAGCTGTGTCACAAACATCCTCCTGAAGCCATGCTGTCAGCTTGTGTTTGCAGAAAGGGCCCGATTCCTACCCTAAAAAGAGCCTAATGCTTCAAGTGAAGTGCTTACCGAGCAGTAATGCTCTATAGGGATGGCAGAGGCATCCTCTGCACGAGAGAAGCAGACCAGAAGAGATGCTCCCCAGCATCACGTTTGACACAGCCGCAGCTGCATCGTGTGCCTCCACAGCATTAGGCTGGGGTGATTTCACGTGCAGTAGTTTAAGTTGACATCTACTTCCCCCTCGACTGTTTGCAAGTGGTACAACATGCAATCCACACACTATTTAACGCACAGAGAGACCTAAAGTGGCTCCATACATGCAAGCAGCTCTCAGGCCAGAAGAGGAGGAAATACAAATATCACAGTTCTTCAGCCTCATTGTTTTCAAGCGCAGCAATAAGCTGCCTTTTCCCTAAGATTATCCTCAAGTGGCACGATACAAGGTGATTGCTGAAGTGAGCTACGTGTGCATCCCTAAGGACCACAGCAGCCAGTGCTCGTGGCAAGGACACTGTGGTGTTCCCATCAACATCAGCCCTCCCCATTCTGACAGCAGGCAGACTTCAGCAACAGCACAGAAGCAGGAATATCTGGGTGGCAGATTCATCCCTGCATCAGCCACCATGATCCAGGAGCATCCATATGGATGGTCTCAGCTGGCTCTGTGCACTGAGCATCTCTCCCCAGCACTCTCCAGAGATCCCATTTCAAACCCGTCCTGGGAAATTGTATCCCATGCCTGGACTCCTCTAAAGGCAAAAGATACATCAGTAACCGTGCCCCACATCCCTTTGTCCTTCACTATTGCTTACCCTGTGGATTATGAGCTGTAATTGCCATGAAAAGCTATATTTAAGTACAATATGTATTTCTGTGTTTAAGTGCAAGCGTGTACACATGGCGCAGATCCAAAGGTTAGAGAGGGATTGATACCCTCTTCCCCGCCATTGAGGCAAGAGGGCTGCACACACACACAGAGTATCCAGGTCTAAACTATCCTAGCTTCTACCAGGATTTTAGGAAAACATAGAAAATAAATATGCTGCTGCACTGATTGAAGAGAAATCTTGTTTAATTTGCCTAAATGGATTTAAAGCAATGCATGGGGAAACCCGCTCATAGGGGTGGCAATAGCCTTGCCAAAGCCTCCTCCTTCCATCTTCCTTTCAAGTTTAATTTAGCTTTTATAACAAGGGGCCAGAATTCCCCTATTGCTCACTGGCACTTCAGTCTTGCAGGCAGCAATGCACAGGATAACGCCCTATATGTACCTTTGACATCCCACAGTGTGACTCTGAATGCTTTGCAGGACCAGCGTTACCACCTCTAAAAGCTGAGGCTTCCCAAACCCTCCTTCCGCTTCCCAAACCCCCTTCTCACCTCCTCCTGCTGACCCCAGGCCAGTCACTGTGTTAGAACACAGATAAGCAGCAAGAAACAGTCAATATTAGCTATGTGCCTGGCAGAGGCAGAGCGCTAGATGAGCACCAGGTACCAGGAATATTACCTTTTATAATCATTGCTTTATTAACATACAACAATCTCATTAAGTCTAATCTAAGTGCTTATTTGGCAGGTTCAATAGAAAAGCCTTAATTGAGCTGGGTTTAAATATAGCAACAACTGCTTACTCTGCTTTCTAAGAAGGTGAGAGCTTTCCTGGCGACACCTGCTTGCAGCTGACAGCTTGTTAGTGAAGAAGGATGGGGTTTAAGGATGGATTTTTGCTGGTTTGGGGTTTTCCCAGCACTCGGTTTATTTGGGGATACAGGAAGCATCAGTAACGTCAGTCACCCAAAGAGGGCTTCTTCCAGCACCCAGGTGGGTCCGAGATGGTGCCTTACTACCGAGAGGCCAAAATGGGACAGGATGTGCCATTTGCGTAGTGAGCAGCACAGTTCTATGCTTAATTAAAGCTTCCTAATCTGCTGGCAGTGAATCTGCCAGGAGGTTTGACAGCTTTGGCTGGACCCCTTTCATCAGCCACAGCTGCAGCAGTAAATGAGCAGCTCTGTTGAGCCCCCAGGAGCTGCCGGGGTCCCGGTGGGGATGAATGCCCCCCTTGTCTCCTCCAAAGGCATCACAGCTTCACCTGGTGCACAAGGGGCTCCTTCCGACCAGCCGGCGCCTTGGAGAAAGGGCCCATTTTAACAGGCCTGGGACTGACCTAAATACCCAGATCTGAGCCGCCCTTGAAGGATGGGACCAGAGAGGAAGGCGAGGATTTAAATATCTGGATTCAAAGCCAAATCTTGGCAGCTGGAAGCCCCGAGCTCACCACGCAGGAGGTTTGACAGAGACCTCCAAGTCCTGCCCATCACTTTGGGTACCGGAAAGACTCCATCCCCCAGGAACCACCTGGTGCATCAGGGATGGAGCAGCACATCTTGTAGCAGGGGGTCACCCCACTGGGGGGGGACCGGGTGCTTTCTGCTCACCTTGATGCGTGCGCCGTGCAGGCTGGCGGCTCCCTCGCAGCTGCTGATCTTCTCCCCACAGGTCCACCTCTGGTTCAGCAGCTCACCCCGAAACTCATTTTCTGGGGAGGGGAAGAGGAGCACAGGGTCAGGACACAGAGGGAGCCCGGCACCCCATCAGCAGCATCAACCAGAGCAATACATGTTCCCTGCCTGCTTTCTTTAATGGATGTACAAATCCTGCCTGAGGGTCTTGCTGAGGCCAAGAGCCCCAGACATGAAGGACTGTGCACCCCGAGCCTGCCCTGAATGCTGCTCAGCTTGGTCATCAGTTGGAAACCAGAGTATTAACAGTGCCACCAATGGGCTGGGCAACGAGACTCCCTGTGCCTCTGGCGGCTGGCAAAGGGCTTCTCCCTTATACTCTCTTCTTAAGGCTCATTTGCACATCTATAAGGGTGGATGGGACCCATTAGCTGGGCAGCACAGAGAGCACAGGGAGGTCCCCACAACAGCTCGGTGTGACATCAGTATTTTGGGAGTGAGTCATTACAGAAACAGGCATTGAAGGTGCAAAACAAGGGTCTCAAAGTTAAAACTCTCAGAGACAGAGCTGCTCTGGGAGCAAGGGAGAGCAGGCAGAGAGGAGCCTCTATCCAAGGGGAAATACTGTGGGAAATGCATATTTTACAAGCAGATTTTGGGCACTTTCCCTTCACAGAATCCCAGACTGGTTTGGGTTGAAGGGACCTTAAAGCTCCTCCAATTCCAACCCCCTGCCATGGGCAGGGACACTTCCACTAGAGCAGCTTGCTCCAAGCCCCTGTGTCCAACCTGGCCTTGAGCACTGCCAGGGATGGGGCATCATCTAATACAACTCCAAACACCTTTAAGGGGCTGTTACTGGCCCTGCAGCAGCTGGAGCAGCACGGAGGAGCTGCCATGGCACAGGAGCACAGGCACGGCTTCCCTGCTGCGCGTTACCGCTGACGGTGATGAAATCAAGACCATTTGCCTCCAGAGGGTGGCCTCCAGGCCCCCAGCATCTTTGCTGCTTCGGGCACCGCTGCTTCAAGCTTCCCCCTGGCATCTCACGTTGCAGCTCCCTCTGGCATCGAGCACTGAATAATTTAGTGCCTGCTCTCCAAGCCTGGCTCCATTCATCTACCACTGATGCAAAGGGAAAAGGAGAGCATCCTCCAGCGTGAGGGGATACACACATGCCAGCAGGCTCATTCACCTCAGCTGCTAATAGCCTGGGGAAGAGCTCAGGGCAGAGGTTTCCTTTCCTCTGCGGAACAGGTTCCTTGACTTTATGTTTCTTTATTGGGGTGATCTCAAAGACAGGGGAAGTAGGGAGAAGGCTCACACATGCTAAAGGAAGCCTGGGAAGGTGGGTGTTTAAGCCATGGATAACTTGCTGACTGTGTAGGACACCAGCCAAGCAACTTTCCATCTGCTCTGCAACAAAGCAGCTTTTAGGACAACACATAGAGAGTAGTTAGGGAATTTATTCCTCCCCTGCCTGTGTCTGTTCTCCATCTACAAGACATTAAGGAACAACCAGTATGTCCCAGAGTGCTCTTGCAATAAGTACATTCAAAGTCTGGGACAATTCAATCCTATGGTGATGTCCAGTCCGAGTTAGTGCCTAAGATAAATAACCATGAAAGTTGCCTTCATGTATTTACCCTAAAGCAGAGATGTTCAGAGACCAGGACGGGGGCTCTTCTAGGTTTTATGGGAGAAACATCTGCATTAGAAACTTCTCTCCTAACCCTGTCTGAAGCACCTTGTTCCAGCCTGGACCCAAAGAAAAGGCACAGGGCTATGAAACAATACGAGAGATGCCAAAACATGGCTCTGCTCTGGAGAAGCTCTGAGGAAAAGGCGCAGGGAGGGACAGATGGCCAAGGCAGCTGATGAAACCAAGCAAAATGTGGGGAGGAAGCTACAAAGGGAAAGAGGAAAGAAGAGGAAAAGACATTTAATAAGAAGAAATAATGATGTTTCTATAGTATATTCATAGGGCAGTGCAGCCTGCCTGCTTATCTGAAGCCTTTCCCTGAGCATCCTTCTCTGGTGTGTTTTAAAGCAGGAGCATCCTCTCTGGGATGCAGTGGAGGCAGGAGCAGAGAGTGGGTTAAACTGCAGGAACAATAGATCCTGGATGCAAGAGAACCCTAAAGATAGCTTAGAAGATTTCTGAAAGGCTGAGAAATGGTAAGATTCAACCCTGAGGAGTTAAAAACAGCATAACACATGTACATTTATCCTCTGGGCCTGTTTAGCTCACGTGTACCTAAGTCATAGACTGAGGGTGAGTTCTGGATGCTGCGATGATAAATCTGGCTCGAGATGTTAGCTTGTCCTTGCCACGGGACCAGTCCCTGCCTTCCACACCTTCATCCCTGTGAGCAAGAGGAGGGAAGGGGCTGTGTGTTGGGGTTAGGAGCCTCAGCCAGGCTAAAGGGGTTTTGGCCATGCCAGCTCAGCACCCTCCTGCCCGCTCCTGTCCCTCTGCCCAGCCCGGCTCAGATGGCCAAGGCAGCTCCATCATCACACGAGTCAGATTTCCTCTTCTCCCCGCTGCTTAAATGCATGTGGTCTCTGGAGAGGATCAGTTTGCACTGCTGGCTGTGCCCTTTCCACCCTGGGTTCAGCAGAAACGAAGCTCACTGGTTATGCGAAGGACACTTCTTTTAACCCCTCCCTGGACCACCCAAGAGGAGATGCAGGATATTGCCCTAAATGCAAGTTTTTCCCCATGGGGAGCACTTTAGCACATCCTGAGGTCCCCTCCTTGCACAGAGCTGGGACACGAAAGCTCACAGTCAGGAGCACTTGCATCCATGAATAATAACCTGGATGCTCAGCTGGTCTAGGTCACTATGGATCACTGCCTGATGTTCACATCCCAAAGGAAATCTGCTCCATCCTTGGTACCCACCACCTAGCCAGGACTGGATCACACACTGAGGACCCTCACTAGACAGGCTGCTTTTCCCCATCAACCTTTGCGACAATCAACTGCAACATCAGTGTGTCCTCTTCCAAATGAGGCTCTTCTCCCACACCTTGGATCAATTTGTCCCCTTCCCTCCTTCAGAAATGCCTATAGGGGGAGGTCAGTAGTGGAATGATGCACTGAGATGTGCAGAACCCTGGCGTGAAACAGCGAGTTCTGTGAAGCCTCAGAAACCCTCATCAACTCCAAACAAGAAAGCTGGGAAAACTGGGATGGACACGCACAATTCAGGGTGTAAAGCAGACTCAGGTGGGCTTTACTTTCAATTTACTGAGTATTTAAACTAAATGAGTAGAAGGAAACCAAATCAGTCTTCATTCGCTCCCCAAAGTGCAAGTAAAAGGGAGTGAGATTTCTCTTCATCTTCTTGCAGGCACATTTTCCATGGGAAAACTGAACTCTGTGTTAAGGCAGCAACAACGTGCTGAGAACAGGCTGGGTCCTTCAGTGTCCCACCAGCCAACACGGGCTCAGAGCAAAAACAGCAGCAGTGTCAGGGATGAGGGGATACCCTTTGGACCCCATCATTCATATGAATTAAAACAACCAAACATGAGACCAAAACCCTCTCAAATCCCAGTTTTACATATTAGCTATTCTCCTCCATCCTCCTCTGATGGCAGAAGTGTTGGTTTAAGCCCCTCTGAGGGCACAGAAATACTGTCTATTCAACGCAATTACCACTGTTGCGGCACAGCTACGTTCAGGGCTTCAGATTTAGCTTCCCAAACATGCATTTAATTTCAGATCTGATACTGGATGTTAACTGTGTATTGCACAGTAAACGACTGATCATTAAAACATATTAATTGAGGTTTAACAGCTGTGTAATAGATACTACATCTCATACTTATCAGCAAATTTGATTTAATAATCACTTAGGATGGGATGTATGGATGGGAGATGCAGCATGGCCAGCTAGATTGCGGGGTGTTCATTTGAGGACCTAAAGGTACTTGTCCTTAGCTTGTTTGGAAAGGAGCTTGGCAATCACCAAGCAGATGTTGAGCTTTGATGCTCTCATCTGCAGAGCTTATGTGGACAAGCCCCACTGAGTTTACAGTCTATAAGGGGAGAAATGGGGGAGCCATGTCGAGTTTCTTCCTATAAAGCTGGGGATGAGCTGCAGGGACCTGGCCCCATGACTGTCATAGAATGGTTTGGAAGGGACCTTAAAGCTCATCCAGTTCCACCCCCCTGCCACGAGCAGGGACCCTTTCCACTAGATCAGGTTCCTTTTATTTTAAGCAAGTTCAAAATGCCATTGCCCTTGACAAGGGATATGTGTATCCCAGTCCATATGCCCTTGGCTGGTCTCCAGGGCAGTTTACCCAAGTACTCCATATCCTGCTGCTCCCCTTCCCATCTCCATCGCCATGTTAACCCAGCATATCCCACTCTTGCATCCCAGGACTTGCTGCTCCTCATCCCCACATCATTCCCAGCTATGTCCCCTCTAGCCAAAGCAAAGAGCTGGATGACGCCTTGCTGCACTGTGTGGAGAAGTACAGCCCTGCATGTCTTGTGGGCAGAGGAGAGGAAGTGAGCACCAGGGTTTCCATCTGGCTATGCAAAGGAGACAAGGACATTGCTAGCATGATGCTGCTGTTTCTCCATCTCCAGCCACAAGAACCTGCCACCCTCCTTCCAAAGATTCCTGTAATGCCCAGGAGCCAGCCAGCAGCCCAGGGAGCATCCCCCACCTCAGCTCCCTTCCCAGCACCGCATGAGGTACAAGTGATTCATGTCCTCCTTCCCAGTCCCATGCCACCTCCCCTCTTGGCTCATCCCGCTTTTGACGCCGTCAGCAGCCACGTCAGCCCATGTGGCCACCTCAGCTGTGCCAGCTCATGCTTTGCCCTGCGATACCTAAAACCTTGGGATGATTTTGAACTCACTTTGACATGTCCTTGATGGGAGAAGGGAATCATCCTTTTCCCCACAGCCCTGGCACAGGACACAGAGCAACTGGTTTAATCACAAGAAGAGTCAGATTTCCCCAGCATGAGATCATGTTGCAATAGGAAGGGAAGAAGCACCAGAACCCTTGGAGAGGGAACAAAGCCCTCAGCACTGGGGTTCAGCAGCAGATTA